AGAGTGAACGACGCCACTGGCTACCTGCTCCGAGCGGCAACAGCAGCAGAGCCAACAACAGCAGCAGAGGCAGCAACAGCAGCATCAGCGGTAGCGGCAATAGCATCAGAGGCAACAGCAGCAACAGCGGTAGCGGCAACAGCAGCAGAGCCAACAGCAGCAGCAACAGCAGCAGAGGCAACAGCAGCAACAGCGGTAGCGGCAACAGCAGCAGAGGCAACAGCAGCAGCAGCAGAGGCAACAGCAACAGCAGCAGAGGCAGCAACAGCAGCAGAGGCAGCAACAGCAGCATCAGCGGTAGCGGCAATAGCAGCAGAGGCAACAGCAGCAACAGCGGTAGCGGCAACAGCAGCAGAGCCAACAGCAGCAGCAGAGGCAACAGCAGCAGCAACAGCAGCAGAGGCAACAGCAGCAACAGCGGTAGCGGCAACAACAGCAGAGGCAACAGCAGCAGAGGCAACAGCAGCAGCAGAGGCAGCAACAGCAGCAGAGGCAACAGCAGCAGCAGAAGCAGCAACAGCAGCAACAGCGGTAGCGGCAACAACAGCAACAGCAGCGAGAGGAAGTGAGCCACTTCGGGGTTTCAGTTTCGGGACGCGCGCTCCATGCGTGGACAGCCCTCCCGTGACCACGCAAACTCCGCTCGCAACATAATGCACGCACACACACACAAACATAGACAACGCGCATTACAGACACAAAATAACACGGTAAACAAATAACAGGCACAACACAAGACAAACACAAGACACAAACAAGACACAAGACACCTTATACACAACATACCATACAGGCAAACAACACACAAATATCCATAACAGGTTTTTTTGGGGGGGGGTAGATTGCAAAAATATAACTGTGTCGTTAAACCCGCCACCACCCGACACAGCCAATTGTCCTGTGGCCTTCGCAGCTGCGGGGCTCACAAGTGACGTCATCACATCTTTCTCTCTATTTAAGAACAAAACAGGAGGAGGATTTCTCCACAAATCTGTCTATCGCCTGATGATGCTGGTTGTAGTTACTGGCGAAACGTCGTGCTCAGATTGTAAATGTTGTGGATTTACTCTCCAACACACCGGTGTGCTGTAATCATAACGAATTTGCACGTTCTGTTTACGTGACAAACCTTACTAATTGGCTGTGTCAGGTGGTGGCCGGTTTAAAGACACATTCATATATTTACGCGATCTATCCCAAAATAAACCTCATGGATAATATTGGTCGCGACAGCCTACGTGTTAAAACACGCAAATAACAACCACCATCTGCAACAAATACCCCATTTTACATTGGCGCACCTAAACCGTGCCGTGGTACAGGTGATTTTTCCATTGGATATTTACCGAGCCGTGCTATACGCGTGCCTCACAAGATACAGGATCTGAAGCTGGCTCGAACACAACTTGGGAGCTCCTTGCACTCTCTCCACAACTGCCGAACTTTGCTCAAGAAGAGTCCACGTCGTAGAGAGTTTACACACAAGAATGTGTGTCTTCTGCTATACATTTCCACGTGACGATTATAAGCCCACTTCGTTGAGCTATCATTTGGGGTCAGGTCGCTTCTGAAAAATAAGCTAGACAGCTCAGCGCGCCTTACCCGGTCAAATAAAAAGTTTAGTTTTCGTATGGGTCTCGATGAGTATGGGTCTGCAGGGGTCTCCATGTGTATGAGTCTCTGTGGGTCTTTGAATATGGGTCTCAATGTCTCTCTGTGGGTCTCTGGGGGGTCTTTATGAGTCTGCATAAACATTCGTTTGGAGCATTTGGCTGCTATAAGTTTCCATGCGATGATAAAAAATAGTTTAGTTTTATTTTTATATATTTGTTTACCTTCCTATACTTTACTCTCCTATCGTGTTTGTATATTATTAATTATAACGTACTGACCTGCCCCCATTGGAGATCTACGAAAAAAGAGCTTCATTGCTCAACGGATTCCTCCAGTACAAATACATTTTCTGATTATATGAAGGCTATTGCCCAAATTGTCGCGTCGCCTGTTATTATATTCTAAAACAAATTCGTTCAAAGGCCAACAGGCTGTGTTCATTGACCAATGTGTTGAGCACGTAATGGCGAGAGTGAACGACCCCACTAGCTACCAGCTCCGAGCGGCAACAGCAGCAGAGCCAACAACAACAGCAGAGGCAGCAACAGCAGCATCAGCGGTAGCGGTAATAGCAGCAGAGGCAACAGCAGCAACAGCGGTAGCGGCAACAGCAGCAGAGGCAGCAACAGCAGCAGAGCCAACAACAGCAGCAGAAGCAGCAACAGCAGCAACAGCGGTAGCGGCAACAACAGCAACAGCAGCGAGAGGAAGTGAGCCACTTCGGGGTTTCAGTTTCGGGACGCGCGCTCCGGGCGTGGACAGCCCTCCCGTGACCACGCAAACTCCGCTCGCAACATAATGCACGCACACACACACTTACCATAGACAACGCGCATTACAGACACAAACTAACACGGTAAATAAATAACAGGCACAACACAAGACAAACACAAGACACCTTATACACAACATACCATACACGCAAACAACGCACAAATATCCATAACAGGTTTTTTTGCGGGGTTAGATCGCATAAATATAACTGTGTCGTTAAACCTGTCACCACCCGACACAGCCAATTGTCCTCTGGCCTTCGCAGCTGCGGGACTCACTAGTGACGTCATCACATCTTTCCCTCTATTTAAGAACAAAACAGGAGGAGGATTTCTCCACAAATCTGTCTGTCGCCTGATGATGCTGGTTGTAGTTTCTGGCGAAACGTCGTGCTCAGATTGTAAATGTTGTGGATTTACTCTCCAACACACCGGTGTGCTGTAATCATAACGAATTTGCACGTTCTGTTCACGTGACAAACCTTACTAATTGGCTGTGTCAGGTGGTGGCGGGTTTAACGACACATTCATATATTTACGCGATCTATCCCAAAATAAACCTCATGGATAATATTGATCGCGAAAGCCTACGTGTTAAAACACGCAAATAACAACCACCATCTGCAACAAATACCCCATTTTACATTGGCGCACCTAAACCGTGCCGTGGTACAGGTGATTTTTCCATTGGATTTTTACCGAGCCGTGCTATACGCGTGCCTCACAAGATACAGGATCTGAAGCTGGCTCGAACACAACTTGGGAGCTCCTTGCACTCTCTCCACAACTGCCGAACTTGCTCAAGAAGAGTCCACGTCGTAGAGAGTTTACACACAAGAATGTGTGTCTTCTGCTATACATTTCCACGTGACGATGATAAGCCCACTTCGTTGAGCTATCATTTGTGGCCAGGTCGCTTCTGAAAAAGAAGCTAGACAGCTCAGCGCGCCTTACCCGGTCAAATAAAAAGTTTAGTTTTCGTATGGGTCTCGATGAGTATGGGTCTGCAGGGGTCCCCATGTGTATGAGTCTCTGTGGGTCTTTGAATATGGGTCTCAATGTCTCTCTGTGGGTCTCTGGGGGGTCTTTATGAGTCTGCATAAACATTCGTTTGGAGCATTTGGTTTAGTTTTATTTTTATATATTTGTTTACCTTCCTATATTTTACTCTCCTATCGTGTTTGTATATTATTAATTATAACGTACTGACCTGCCCCCATTGGAGATCTACGAAAAAAGTGCTTCCTCCAGTACAAATACATTTTCTGATTATATGAAGGCTATTGCCCAAATTGTCGCGTCGCCTGTTATTATATTCTAAAACAAATTCGTTCAAAGGCCAACAGGCTGTGTTCATTGACCAATGTGTTGAGCACGTAATGGCGAGAGTGAACGACGCCACTAGCTACCAGCTCCGAGCGGCAACAGCAGCAGAGCCAACAACAACAGCAGAGGCAGCAACAGCAGCATCAGCGGTAGCGGTAATAGCAGCAGAGGCAACAGCAGCAACAGCGGTAGCGGCAACAGCAGCAGAGGCAGCAACAGCAGCAGAGCCAACAACAGCAGCAGAAGCAGCAACAGCAGCAACAGCGGTAGCGGCAACAACAGCAACAGCAGCGAGAGGAAGTGAGCCACTTCGGGGTTTCAGTTTCGGGACGCGCGCTCCGGGTGTGGACAGCCCTCCCGTGACCACGCAAACTCCGCTCGCAACATAATGCACGCACACACACACTTACCATAGACAACGCGCATTACAGACACAAAATAACACGGTAAATAAGTAACAGGCACAACACTAGACAAACACAAGACACAAACAAGACACAAGACACCTTATACACAACATACCATACACGCAAACAACGCACAAATATCCATAAGATTTTTTTAGGAGGGGTTAGATCACGTCAATATGGGTCTCGATTTGTATAAGTCTCTGTGGGTCTCTGAGTATGGGTCTCTAAGTGTCTCTGGGTCTTTATGAGTCTGCGGAAACATTCGTTTCGAGTATTTGGCTGCTATAAGTGTCCAAGCGACGATAAACCACTTCGTTGAGCTATCTTTAGTATCCAGGTCACTTCTCAATAGAGCTACACAACTCAGTTGCGCCTTACCGGTAAAATTAAAAATAGTTTTAAGTTTAGTTTTAGAAACTGCAGAAGCATTAACGAGACAGTGAAACGAGATACGAGAATCAGAAGTTTAGTTCCACGGTCAATGCAACATCATAGCTGTTGCTCGACATCAGCCAGCCAGACGAAGGAGTGATTTTGACGAACGCTTTGCGGTTTTCTTGCTTGTGTTCGGTCACCTGAAACGTCTGACAAATACTGAACATATGTTATGGGTATGCGGCCACGTGTGGAACGCAGGCGAGAGAGGCCGCAACAATGTCCGTCATTCCGCCAAAAAATTCTTGGAACGACGGTAAGTAAATATAGCCCCAATGAATCAGACCTCGCATCTCAAGATTTCCAGATTTCCCCAGATTCAAATTCTAAACACCCAAGTCTCTGATCTCAGTGTGTTGCGGCCACCAGCATTGTGATTTCCAAATGCAGGTCTAACCACTGCGCCACGGGCTCCCCATAACACGCGCGTGCGCGTGCGTGTTTGCGTGTAAACCAACAAGGGGTTCAGCTCCATTCCGATGGTTGAAATGCTCCGACGTGCGTGCGCGTGGCTTGGTATCCAGAGTGTGTTCAACTTCTTTCGAAACCGGACCTAGCAGCCAGCCGTGGTCATCGGTTGTGCTGTAGCCGGGTGGAGGTGCGGGTGGGGCGGGGCTCGGTTTCGTGCCAGGGAGGCGGCACCCGCGATATTTGGCGCAGAGTCGCGCGCGTCTCTTCTCACTCGCACACACGAAGACGTCTCGCGTCTCAAGCTGCCGACCTCATGGCGACCTCCTCCTCATCCTCCACCTCCTCCTCCTCCACCGCAGCCTTCGCGGAGCCGCTGCCTCTGATCGTGACGGACGGGGAGGGCCGATTCGTGCTGGTGCCCGAGACGGCAGCGGCGCTGTCGCGCGTCGTCACAGGGCCCGTGGTGGTGGTGGCCGTGGTCGGGAGGTACCGCACGGGGAAATCCTTCCTCATGAACCGCCTCGCGGGGAGCAACTCCGGTACGAATGGGCACTCGAGTATTCACGGATCTCTCCCCCCTCCTCCCCCCCCCGCACCTTCTCTTATCTGCTGCCGCTAACGCTGCGTGATTGCGCTTTAACGACGTGACGCTCTTCGGTCCGTGAGAGCTTCGCAGCTCATCGGATTCCGCCGGTATACACCCATATTCTGATTCTGAATCCGTGGGAGTCCGGGTGTCAGTAGGGACCTAGTAATGAGCGACGTAATTGTGACAGCTGCCTGCCTCGCATTAGGAACTCGCAGAGTCGAATGAGGAAACGCTGCAGTGGTTTACTACATTAGCCAACACCACGGACCGTATAGTATCGTCGTAAATAACACTGTGCGTGCAGTCTGCGCTCCTTTCAACGGAGGAGGAACAGCAAACACTCCACGAAATCTCCCTCCCACTCTCTCTCTCTCTCTGCTGAAGTCCTCTCGTCGTGGACAGCAGCAGCAGCAGCAAGACCGAGACACGCACGGGCAACCCGAGTTCCATTCCCGCTCGCAGGCCACCAACAACCCGGTGACGATTGTCTGAACCGGTCCCGGGACCTCCCCTAGGTCCACTCGGCCACAAATGAGTATCCGGGTGCGGTGTGTACACATCGCCACTCGTCGCGGTGTTGGCCAACGCCCTCGTGTGCCGTTCCGACCTTCATAGGTGCTCGCTAACAGCACTTGCCCCAACAGTCTGTTACAGGCTACACAGCGTGGGGGGGGGGGGGGGGGGGGTTGGGGGATCTTTGTCTTTGTGTGATGGCGTGCAACTCGGGGCGAGCCGTCCCAAACTGAAACCGCTAAGTCGCTCACTTCCCCTAACCGCCGCCGCTGTTTAATGCGTCGTGTGTGATCGTGTCTGATGTTGTGTAGGGTGTGTGTGTGTGTGTGTCTTGCGTGTTGAGTTCGTGTGTTATATGCGTTCTGTGCTGTGTGTGGTTTTGTGTGCGCGCCGTTGTTGTAGTCCACTGATTTTTCGAGGGGCCACTTTGTGCGATACGACAACATCATCAGTGCGAGGGCCGCCACACCATTTGAACCCATCGCGGGTTTGATTGACAGCAGCACGAGGACCATGATGGTGCTGGTGCTGGGGGTGTTTTTTACCCTTCGCGTATTGTGTCGGGTGGCCGTACGTTAGGGGGGCCGCACGCAAGGCCACCAGGTTCCGCCAAGAGCCCGCGGGCCTTGCATTGAACAACACCGTCACTCTTTTGTGTATGATCTATTGTAGTGTGTGTGTGTAGTTTGTGTGTGTGTAGTTTGTGTGTGTGTGTGTAGTTTGTGTGTGTGTGTGTGTGGGGGGGGGGGAGACAAAGGCGGCCGGGCGTGGTGCTGGCCACCCACCCTCTCGTGTGCCGTGCCGGCCTTCATAGGTGCTGCTCGCTAACAGCACTTGCCCCTACAGTCTGTTACAGGCTATACGGGAGATCTTTGTATTTGTGTTGTAGCCAACAGCGCTAATCGGAGGTGCGTGGGGAGGGGGGGACGACACCAAACTAAACACAAAAAAGCAGTTTCTAAAGAAATTAGTTTGTCAATGTAGTTTGTCAATGTAGTTTGTCAATGTAGTTTGTCAATGTAGTTTGTCAATGTAGATGATTGCAAAGCGCATAGCTCCAGCGGCTTCCTAGTATCGGAAGAGCTTTCCAGACGGCCGCAGACTCGCATCTGGAGGCGCGTTATGATGCGGTGGCCGCATCCGTTCGATGGCCAGCAGCCAAAAAGCCGCTGGTGCCGCTGCTGCTGCTGAGAGGATGATCGGAGTGTCGCGCGATTGATGGTTTATGCCCCCTGACGAGATCAGCGAGGTGTTTGTGGCAAGCACTGTGGGGTCGTCCATATATGACGTCACGCGATTTTGGGCGATTTTTGACCCCCAATCCCCCCTCGTCACACGGCGTCACAAAAAGTCAGACCCCCCCCCTCAAATATGACGTCACAAAGCTCTGCCCCCCCTCCCCCCCCCCCAAAAAAACCCCATATTTCCATTTTGAAAATAAAACAAGCTTCAAAATCGCTTTCAACTATTGTCATTGTAGTGCGTATTTAATGTGGCGCTGCACTCTGATGTTGTAGGAGTGTTGTTATAACAATTAGTGTTGTCATAACAATTCTACATTTATTTAAAGTTGCGCATTTTGATGTGACGTCACATTTCTCAAACCCCCCTCCCCCCCACCTCGTCACACATCGTCACAAATGTCTGACCCCGCCCCCCTCCCCCCTAGGTGCGTGACGTCATTTATGGACGGCCCCCTGTGTGTGTAACGAGCGCGACCTTTCCCATGGCCCTTGACCACTCACGCGTGTCTCTGGGTTGTCATCCCGCCCTGGGCTGCACGGTGCAGTCTCACACCAAGGGCGTCTGAGTCTCTGTGTGTGTGGCTGTTCTTGCCCTTGTAACCGCAGCTTTTCCCTGGGCTGCACAGTGCAGTCTCACACCAAGGGCGTCTGGGTCTGTGTGTGTGTGTCTGTTCTTGCCCTTGTAACCGCAGGCTTTTCCCTGGGCTGCACGGTGCAGTCTCACACCAAGGGCGTCTGGGTCTCTGTGTGTGTGTCTGTTCTTCCCCTTGTAACCGCAGGCTTTTCCCTGGGCTGCACGGTCCAGTCTCACACCAAGGGCGTCTGGGTCTCTGTGTGTGTGTCTGTTCTTCCCCTTGTAACCGCAGGCTTTTCCCTGAGCTGCACGGTCCAGTCTCACACCAAGGGCGTCTGGGTCTCTGTGTGTCTGTTCTTGCCCTTGTAACCGCAGGCTTTTCCCCGGGCTGCACGGTGCAGTCTCACACCAAGGGCGTCTGGGTCTCTGTGTGTGTGTCTGTTCTTGCCCTTGTAACCGCAGGCTTTTCCCTGGGCTGCACGGTGCAGTCTCACACCAAGGGCGTCTGGGTCTCTGTGTGTGTGTCTGTTCTTCCCCTTGTAACCGCAGGCTTTTCCCTGGACTGCACGGTCCAGTCTCACACCAAGGGCGTCTGGGTCTCTGTGTGTGTCTGTTCTTGCCCTTGTAACCGCAGGCTTTTCCCTGGGCTGCACGGTCCAGTCTCACACCAAGGGCGTCTGGGTCTCTGTGTGTGTGTCTGTTCTTGCCCTTGTAACCGCAGGCTTTTCCCTGGGCTGCACGGTGCAGTCTCACACCAAGGGCATCTGGGTCTGGCCCAGACCCCATCCACTGGACCAGGACAAGTGGCTGCTGCTGCTCGACACCGAGGGCCTGGGAGACGTAGAGTCGGTCAGTGGCCGATCTCCTCGTCCGTTCTGGTGGGGGGGGGGGGGTGGTAGCCCCCCCTCCATCCCCCCACCCCCCCTTCTCCCCTACTCCGCTTGGGGGGGGGGGCGGTGGTGGTGGTAGCCCCCCCCCCACACCAACCCCCCACCCCCCTCGTCTCCCCTAGCTCGTTCTGGGGTCACCCCCGCCCTTGTCGCGGTGGATTTCCTGCCGGCTTGAGTTATTTATGTATTTGGGGCCGTCCATAAATGACGTCACGCGATTTTGGACGATTTTTGACCCCCCCCTCCCTCGTCACACGGCGTCACAAAAAGTCAGACCCCCCCCTCAAATATGACGTCACAAACCTCTGCCCCCCCCCTCCCAAAAAAATAAAACATGCTTCAAATTGCTTTAAACTATTGCCATTGTAGTGCGTATTTAATGCGGCGCTGCACTCTGATGTTGTAGGAGAAAACATTTATTAAAAAGTATATTTCATTAAGTTAGAACGTGTTGTCTATATTCATTTAAAGTTGCGCACTTTGATGTGACGTCACATTTCTTAACCCCCCCCCCCCCCAGGTGCGTGACGTCATTTATGGACGGCCCCTTTGCTCATCCGATGTCCCGGGACGAGGGGCTACAAACTAAACACACACAATAAAAATCAGTTCTAAAGAATTGAGTTTTCAATCTCGACTTTGCTTACCTCTCGCACGCCTTTGTGCTCCTATCGTCTGTTTGTGCTTGCTTGTTGTTGTAACGTTCTGACCTGCCCCCGACTAGGACGACTGTGGAAAAAAAGAGCTTCATAGCTCATCGGATTTCTCCAGGATATAAATACAGATTCTGATGCTGGCTACACCAGTTGCATGCATTCGTGTGCATCGTCGATCAATTATTGACTATCGCAATTTTTTTTCAAGTCTCAACATTTTACACAATTGGTCAATGAATCAATTCCCTGAAATGTTGATACTAGATTATGTATCGGCAAGGAGGCACTGTATATTGAATGCATTTTAAGAAAGAGTTTGGCAATGTATTTTGGAGATTCGCATCGTGTGCCATACTAAGAGATGTGGCCATCGCGTTGGGATACCATCAGTATAACAAAGCGAATCCCTCGAGGTTCGCTTTATACCCAACGGGATGTATACCAGTTATTGCACGCCATCAGCACGCTAGGGGCTGTTTCACGGTGATTTGTATGAACCCTCCTCTCTTTGCGACCCACCACCACCCCCCCCAGGCCGGAAGCACGCACGACACGTGGCTCTTCGTGATGGCCGTGCTGCTGAGCACCACGCTGGTCTACAACGTCGTGGGCACGCTCGACAAGGGAGGCCTCGAGCAGCTGCAGTATCCTCCGGACGCGATCGCCGCCGCTAACGCAGCCAATGTCCAATTTGCTTTGTTGCCGTGCCGGGCAGTGCTCGACTCAACGAACGGTTCCGACTTACGGACGTGTCTGAATTGCGTTCGTAAGTTGGAGGACTGCCCCGTGCACGACTTTGTTCGCTTTGCTTTCGCGTAATTTCGTCGGCGCAAGGCACTCGTTGCAAACGAGACTGTGATCCTCCCCGTGCATTGAATCCTCCCGTGGGTTAAAGCAACATCGACGTTGAACTCCACTGCAGAGGCATGCTCTGGCAATGGGCAGATGATGATACTAATTATATTTCTTGCATCCTCAACATTAGAGACCACGTGATATATATATAAACAAAAACCTAATTCAACACATTCGGCAATATATAGCACGTGACGTTTCGGGCAATAGCCCTTATTGAGCAATATTAGGAAAAAAGAGGTTGGATGGAAAGGTGGAATTCCAAAGTGGAGCAGTGCGAGGAAAGAAGCAGAAAGATACGTTTTGTGACCTGCAGTGTGGTGGGTGAGTGAGTAGTTGATTGGGTGAGTAGTTGATTGGGTGAGTGAGTGAGTAGTTGATTGGGTGAGTGAGTAGTTGATTGGGTGAGTGAGTGAGTGGTTTATTGGGTGAGTGAGTAGTTGATTGGGTGAGTGAGTGAGAAGTTTATTGGGTGAGTGAGTAGTTTATTGGGTGAGTGAGTAGTTGATGGGTGAGTGAGTAGTTGATTGGGTGAGTGAGCAGTTTATTGGGTCAGTGAGTAGTTGATTGGGTGAGTGAGTAGTTTATTGGGTGAGTGAGTGAGTAGTTGATTGGGTGAGTGAGTGAGTAGTTTATTAGGTGAGTGAGTGAGAAGTTTATTTGGTGAGTGAGTAGTTTATTGGGTGAGTGAGTGTGTTGTTGGGACCTGCGGTGTCGTGATGGTTACGGATGGAGAAATTCACGGGTGCAGTGCACGGTAACCACAGTCACCGTGGTATCAGCAGCAGCAGCAGCGATATAAGAGATGAGATGTATTGGGTACGGACGAGAAGAGACCCGAGACTCTCCGGACACGATCCCACGCGGCATCCTCACTGCCCCCGGTTCCCTTAACGCACTCCTCCCCACTCCGCTCCATCCCCGCTCCGCTCGCGGCACAGCTTCGTGCTGAACATGACGGACCACGTGAGGACGCGTGTGAACCAGGACGAGGACGAGCTCGGCTCGGACTTCGAGCGCTACTTCCCCCCGCTGGTGATCTGCGTGCGCGACTTCACGCTGAAGCTGCTCGTCGACGGAGAGCCGTGCTCGGCCGACGAGTACATGGAGCACTGCCTGCAGATGCGCAAGAAGGGGAAGACGCCGGACTGCCGACGGTTCAACGAGCAGAGGCAGCTCCTGTGCGATTACTTCAAGGTAGGACGGTAGCGTGACTAGCGTGGGTAGCAGGGGGTTGCCTTGCCCTCCCGCCACCCCCCCCCCCCACACCAACCTGCTCCCTGGTCGCCAAGGCTACGAGTTGGGCCCCCCTTGAAAACCACCACGAGACGGAGTGCCCCTAACAGCGTTAAGTGTTGGAGACCGCGAGCGTAACGGTGATGCGATTAGGCAAGAGGAGCTGCTGCGATAGGCAATAGCCCGGGTGCGACCGTGCGAGACAAATCACGTGCTGGGGTCCACAACCTTACCGATTGCTGCACCCTCTGAGCTGACGATGTCGTGTCACTGAGGTGCGATCATTACTGCCAGGTCGTTAGAAGTGTGTTCTTCACTTCCGTGCGTTCCTCGTATGTTTAAACAGTTTTTTTTTATATATATATAAAGAAAATACATTTTGTTTATTTTACCAGCGAAAGCCCACTGAGCTGTGTAGCAACCTTTTCAGAAGCGGCCTGGCCACAAATGATAGCTCAACGAAGTGGCTCGTCATCGTGCGTAATAATTATATAGCAGAGAGAACCCCCACAGCCCCCCCCCCACCACCACCACGTGGTAATCGGGGCGCGCTTCTGTTCCCGAAGGATCGGAAGTGCTTCGTGTTTCCAACGCCGACGCGCCGGGAGAACTTGGAGTTCATCGAGAGCCTCCCGGACGGGAGCCTCGACCCGGAGTTCCTGGCGACGGCGGAGAAGTTCACGAGCCACGTGCTGGGACGAGCCGCCAGCAAGCACATCGAGGGCGCCATCCTCACCGGCCAATGTGAGCCATCGCGAGGAGCGCCCTCCTTAAGTCGATCGCACCACCATCAACCGGAGATTATTGAGTAGAGCGCGCGGCGTGTAAAGTTTCGAGATGATTCGACGTAGTCGTAGCTCGCCGTGCTCGCACCGCGCCTGCCACCGCGTCTCTCTTCGTGTCTCTCTCTCTGTGTCTCTCTCTGTGTCCGTCTTCACGTCTCTGTCCACGTCTCTCCGCGTCTCTCTCCGCATCTCCCCGGGACTCTCCGCGTCTCTCCCCGCGTCTCTCCCCGCGTCTCTCTCAGCCTTCGTGCAGCTGGTGGGGCAGTACGTGACGGCGCAGCGTGACGGCGCCGTGCCCTGCATCGAGAGCGCCCTGGAGCAGGTGACCAGGCTCACCAACCTACAGGCCAAGGAGGAGGCGCTGGCCCTCTACCGCGAGAGGACGGCCGTCGCCGTGACGGCGGACGAGCGGACGCCGCTCCCCACAGCGGAGGAGCTCGTCGGCCTGCACCAGCGTGGAGCGCGCGACGCCGTGGATTTGTTCCACGAGCGCTCGCTGCTCGACAGGGAGCGCGAGCACGAGGAGGAGCTCATGGTGAGCGGAGCCTTCAGACAAAGTGTGTGTATGCACGGACGCAAGCTGAACCTCTTTCGCACCGTACGTGGCCAACCGTGCTAATCGGAGGTGCTCACCAGAGGGGCATTTGCCAATTGCACTGCTCTTGTGTCATAAACTATGTTAACATAATTCTGGCTATCGCCTGATGAGGCTGGTTGTAATCACCAGCGAAACGTCCTACTCGAATTGTAAACGTTATGGGATTACTCTCCGACACACCGGTGTGCTGAGGCAGTAACTAATCGACACGTTTTGTTCACGTGACAAAGCTTACCAATTGGCTGTGTCCGGTGGTCGTGGGTTTACCAACTCATTCATATCGACGTGATGTGTGACCCCTACAAAATAAACAAAACTCCTTTATCACGGATAACACTGGTCGCGAAAGGCTACCGCTACTACTACTACTACTGCGCATTAAGCTGACTCGGTGAGATTCCTTTGCCCAATTCGACATCGCCGCCACGGTGTGACGTTCCGCGAGCTGTCGGGTTTTTTGTCGGCGCAGGACACCCTGGCCAAAGAGTACCTGAAGTTGGTGAAAGAGAACAAGGAGGCCTCGGCGCTGCGGTGTGACCGGCGCCTGCGCGAGCTGTACGAGCCGATCCCAGTGAAGCTGCACAAGGGGGAGGACGAGGACTTCGTAAAGCCCGGGGTTTTCCTGGAGTACGAGGGCCTCATGGAGAAGCTGAGGGATGCCTACCGCGCCACGCAAGGCCTGGGAGACGAGGTACACTCGTGTTTGTGCGTACGTGCTGGCGTTGGGCTTCTTTTGGGCACCGTACGGAGCCAACCGTGCCAATCGGGGCTGCGGGGGAAGGACAGCAGATTAGACACAAAAAAAAGCAGTTCTAACGAAATCAGTTTACCATCTAGATGATTTGAAAGTGCATCGCTCCAGTTGCTTCCTAATATCGGACGGAGGAGCATTCCAGATGGCCCGCAGAAGCGCACCTGAAAGCGCCGCGATGCGGTGACCGTCAAAGTGTCGCCACTGCTGCTGCTGCTGTTGTCGTTCTTCGATTTTCTACTGTGCATCGCCGCCAAGGCGGGCGCCGTGACCCACTTTCGATTTTTCGCCCTTGCCCGACGCCTCGTGGATCCGCAGAAGGAAAACCAGCTCGCGGTCTTCATGAAGGGCAGGGAGGAAGAGAGGCATAACCTGTTGCTGCTGGACAAGACCGTCACGCAGAGGGAGAGGGAGCGGTTCGGTGAGCCTTCGCGCTCGTTCCTTAGCGCATCCGTAGCCACGGCTCGGCTCAGGCGCGTTTCCGGCTCACGCGAAGACGGCTCTGAGCAACGCGCTTAATCCCCGTGCCGGCTCGGAGCCATGGTCTCCAGTAGCCACGCTCGGGGGATTTCCCCACGAGCTGAGCCTGAGCCCCCGTGCCGTGGCTGGGCCGCCGTGATAGTGAGACACTGCATTCTCTCAGTATAGCCACAGAAGTGAGACCTTACATTGTCTTACAAGAGTGAGACCTTACACTGTCTCACTGTAGCCACTATAGTGGGACACTACATTGTCTCAATATAGCCACTATAGTGAGACCCTTACATTGTCTTACAAGAGTGAGACCCAACATTATCTTACGACAGCCACTATAGTGAGACTCTTACATTGTCTCATTATAGTGAGACACCACACCGTCTCACTACAGCCACTATAGTGAGACGCTAAAGTGGATCGCCACCAGCCGATTCACGGTTAGAATGCGCGCTTGAAATGTGTTTCTTTTTTGGACAGAAACTGAAGCCATGGAGCTAAAGATGGAGCTCGAGAAGCAAGTACTTGAGGCGGAAAATGTTCAGCAGCGAGCGCACATGCAAGCCTTCGAGGAGCAGATGAAGGTGCCAGATTCACGACCCGCGTGCGCCACAGAGCGGAGTGGCTCTTATTCTGCGCTGACGCGTCGCCTGCAATGTGGCTGGCAAGACTGACGGAACGGTCTTCGCCACCGTCATCATGATCATCATCATCATCATCACCACAGCCATCGTCGTTCTCATCTTCACCATTGAATTCACCAACTGTGGATGACTCGGTGGGCTCGCTCGCGACTCACAGCAAGAAGGCCCTGGGTTCCAACTTGGGCGCATTTCTCTCTGTCGAGTTTGCGCTGCATGGGTTTCTTCCGGGTCCTTCGGGTTTTCCCTCCACATTTGGATTGAACATCACGCGTCTAGAGTATTTCCCTGCTGTAAATGTCCACGTGATGATAAGCCACTTCGTTAAACTATCGTTTGTGGCCAGGTTGCCTCTCTAAAAAAAGAAGCTAAATAACTTGGTGGGTCTTACCCGGTAAATGAAAATAAAAACAGTAAGCTTAATTTAAATCAAACGTTTTTTTTTATTTCCCACGCGCACGCACGCGCATCACAAAAGCCGAACCTGTCGTTGTTGTTGTTGTCCTTCTGCAGGCCAATGAAAGGGCTCACGAAGAGAAGTTGAGACACATCGAGCTGATGACAGCGGTGAAGGCGAGCGCTCCCACGAGCAAACCCGACAATCCGTTCAAGCAATTCGCCAAAGCTGTGCAGCCCATGCTCAAGGAAATCTTCGACTTTGTTCACCTGCGTAGCGCTCTGAAGAAATAGGTGCACATGGGGGGCGTCCCCTCGATACACGGAGCAGAAAGGTTCCAGCGACGTTGCCCGTTTTAAAAAAGGAATAAAAAGGAGAGAAAGTCCGCAAATCCCAACTCCGATTTTTCAGCGTCGACTCTCGCCGTTGTATAATTGGCAGTGCGTTCCTACGGGAAAGCAGTCCCACCCCAAGGCCTACCAAAGTACCAATGAAGCCACACTTTAAAGTGCGGCAACGGTTTGTTTTTTTTGTAAAGCAAGATATAACAGGACGTCGATCAATTCACGGTGAAATTGTACTCAAAATAAGTCGCGAAATAAAAACGAATGTACGCGCCGGTCCAGATGTCCTGTGACGCACATTCATTCTCTAAAACAGAAATGAATGTGCAAAGTAAATAGTGTTTTAGGGTTGAATTCATTGGTGGGTCACGAGACATCTGGACTACCCTGTGCAGTGCTTAAGCACGAACTGTGGTGATATGAAACGCGAGGATTCCCCCCCCTCCTCCCTCCCCACCAAAAAAAAAACACATTACGATTTAGAGACATTCACAATTCCGTCACTGCGAATGCAACGTCGCGTATATCGAATCTGCGCCCTCGCGTGTAATTAACACTGCAGCGAAATTCCGTGCATGGAATTGCCGTGTAACGAGGGGATTCTGCCTGCACGCCTTGAACGGCCGTCGTGCACTTTGATGGGGATTGTGGTGACGCACCTTTGCCTGTTCTCTCACCGGCGATATACAATAAGCCTTTACACTCTTGTCTCAGTTTAACACGTCGCAGGCTTTCGCGACCAATATGACTCATAATGAAGGTTCTTGGTGGGGTTAGATCGTTGTAAGTATAAATGTGTCGAAACCCTCCACCACCCGACACGGCCAATCAGTAAGGTAGTTGTCACGTAAACAAAACGCCAATTGGTTTACCACTTCAGCCCACGGGCGTGTTGGAGAGTAAATCCACAACATTTACAATCTGAGTAATTCGACGTTTCGCAGGTAATTATATCAATCAGCATCATCGGGCGGTTTGCCAGAACAGTGAAGCAAACCATCTGCGTCCGGTCTTAAATAGAGCAAATGCTTAGTTTATATTTTAAGGGCTGTAAAACATGTGGGTAAACATAGTGTGCAATATAGTACGGTACTCGGGAGTATACAATGTAACATTACTCTTTGGTTCTATTCGGTAAAGTCACGTAGGTAAAAAAATAAAACAACAAAAAATCACGACGTTTCGGCCACAACACAAGCGGCCTTCATCAGGTGAAGGGACCAGGCTGTCTCGAGGACAGCGCTGGAGTGGAACACAGCCACGCTCAGAGCGCGACCTTTAAGCTGTGTGCGAGGAAACAAGGTGCCTTGACAAAGGAATTAGCATACAAAAATTAGCATTTGATTGCCCGACTTAGCATAGAAGTGGTGTACATGCAAGTGCACATGCCGGTTGGCGCATGGGGGGGTGGGGTAGTTTCCCTATTGATGGTGTGAAAAGGTAATTTAAGAGTTGCGAAAGTTTGGGGTACCACTACTTGAAAAATATACTGTACCATTGAAAATTGGTTTAATGTTTGGTTCGATTTAGAACATCTTTCCAATGGTTGCTTAATTTGAAACCATCTTCTCGGTTAAAATTGTGTCTGTGCTTGTAGATCTGAATTGCCTCGTGAACAAATCTCTGATAAAAACCCGTGGGTTTGCAAAGAACCTTGGTATCGGAGAAATTATATCGTGATCACCCACAGCGTTGTAACAATGATCAGCTAGGGCAGAAGAATTCGTTTTACCGTGTTTCAAATCTGATTTGTGCTCGCGAATTCGGTCAGAAAATTACCACGATTCCTCGCTGATCTCGTCAAGGGGCATAAACCATCACGTGGACTTCGCTCATCCTCGCAGCAGCAGCGGTGACTTTTGGCGAACCATCGAATAAAAAGGCGGTCACCGCGTCGCGCGCTTTCAGACGCGCTTCTGCGGCCGTCTGGAACGCTCTTCTGATATTATGAAGCCGCTTCAGCATATAAACTTTCAAATTGAAAACTCATTTCTTTAAAACTGCGTTTTTGTGTTTGGTCGGTTGTCCTAACCCCGCACCTCTGATTAGTATGGTTAACTACGTACGGTGCGAAAGAAGTTTAACATACATACATACGATTATCTATATGTCTATGAGTATATATATCTCTGTGTGTCTCTATGGATTTAATATATGGTCTAGAATTAATGTTCCATTCATAATAATCAACGAGATGGCGTTGAGTCGTTTGTTCATGTGTATAGTAGTGTAGAGTGTACACGGGGTCACAGACTCGTGTATACACACACACAACACGTGCATACTCACACATACACACAATACGTGTATACACACACACAACACGTGTACACTCACACACACAACACGTGTATACACAACACGTGTATACTCACACACACACACAACACGTGTACACTCACACACACACACCACGTGTACACTCACACACATACACAACACTTGTATACTCACACAGACAACACGTGTATACTCACACACACACACAACACGTGTACACACACAACACGTGTACACACACACAACACCTGTATACTCACACACACAACACGTGTATACACACACACAACACGTGTATACACACACACAACACGTGTACACTCACACAACATGTGTATACTCACACACACACACACACCACGTGTATACTCACACACACAACACGTGTATACTCGCACACACATAACACGTGTACACACACAAAACACGTGTACACTCACACAACACGTGTATACACACACACAACACGTGTATACTCACACACACACAACACGTGTATACTCACACACACAACACGTGTATACTCACACACACAACACGTGTATATACACACACACAACACGTGTATACACACACACAACACGTGTATACTCACACACACAACGCGTGTATACTCACACACATCACCTGTACACTCACACACACACAACACGTGTACACTCACACACATACACAACACGTGTATACTCACACACACACAACATGTGTATACACACACACACAACACGTGTATACTCACACACACACAACACGTGTATACTCACACACACGCAACACGTGTATACTCACACACACAACACGTGTACACACACACAACACGTGTACACTCACACACACACAACACGTGTACACTCACACACACACAACACGTGTATACACACAAAACACGTGTACACTCACACATACACATCACCTGTACACTCACACATACACATCACCTGTACACTCACACACAACACGTGTATGCTCACACACACAATCTTTTATTTGAATTGTCTCCATTTACGCGGACAGCGCTGATTGCTTAGCGCGTCACGTGGGATGCGTCTAACAATCATCGGGCGCGTGCAGCGCGTAACGAGTTTGTTTGAATTGGGGAGGAGTCAATTGGTAAACGCGTAAAAAAACGCAGCGTGGGTGGTGGTATGGAGGTGATGGTGGTGGTGATGGTGGTGGTGATGGTGGTGAATGGTGGTGAATGGTGGTGAATGGTGGTGGTGGGTGGTGGTGGGTGGTGGTGGGTGATGGTGGATGGTGGTGGTGGGTGATGGGTGGTGGGTGGTGGTGTTGATGGTGATAGTGTAATTGGTGTTGATGGTGATGGTGTAATTTGTGATGGTAGTGATGGTGTTGGTGGTGATGGTGGTGGGTCATGGTGGTGATGGTGGTGGGTGATGGCGGTGATGGTGGTGGTGTAATTGGTGTTGATGGTGGTGGTGATGGTGTTGATGTTGGTGGTGAGAGCACCGATGAAGGTCTGCACGGCACACGAGGAGGGGTAGGGGGGAGTTGGTGTTTGCTCGTGTACCCAGTGTGAGTATCAGAAGAGGTTGTGTACCCTTCTTCCTGGCAATAAAACAGGCGGCGTTAAGATGTTCAAACTCCAAACAGAATCCTTCTGCAGGGAATCATCACGTCCGCGCACGAGTGGGACAAACGCGTGGAAGATTAAGACGAAGTCTGTAGCGGATTGCAGCTGGAGCTGTCCACGCCTGACGACGGGAGGAGAGCGAGACACAGCAGCGGCAGAAGCAGCACCACGCTCGAGGTGTCAACAACAACAACAACAAGGGGCACCACCTCCATCACCATGGCCGGAATGCCCCACGCGAGATTGGGGTAACGGGGGGGGGGGGGGGGGGTGTGGGGGGGCACGGGGAAGGGGAGGCCAAGGGGGGGGGGGCACGTGGGAGGGCTTCGTGCCGAGTGGGCGGCACTCATGACCCCCCTCTGCCCAGAGTCGCGCGCGTTTCTTCTCACTCGCACACACGAAGACGTCTCGCGTCTCAAGCTGCCGACCTCATGGCGACCTCATCCTCCACCTTCTCCTCCTCCTCCTCCACCGCAGCCTTCGCAGAGCCTCTGCCTCTGATCGTGACGGACGGGGAGGGCCGATTCGTGCTGGTGCCCGAGACGGCAGCGGCGCTGTCGCGCGTCGTCACGGGGCCCGTGGTGGTGGTGGCCGTGGTCGGGAGGTACCGCACGGGGAAATCCTTCCTCATGAACCGCCTCGCGGGGAGCAACTCCGGTACGAATGGGGCACTCGAGTATTCACGGATCTCTCCTCTATGTCTGTCTGTCTTCCCTGCCACCACCACCACCACCACCCCCATCACACCACCACCACCACACCACCACTCAACACATTTGGACAATAGCCTTGGCCTTAAAAATACTATATACACACACGCGCATAATAGACGACGTTTCTGTGTGTCTTGTGAAAAAGGGTCATGGCCTGAAACGTTGCCGAAGGTCGGTGTTATTGACGAATATATATATATTTTTTTTACAGTGCAGTGCCAGGTCCTTGTGTGTTTTCGGCAGCGGTGGTGGGGGTGAGCCGCCACACGGATGAGGATCTTGAAACTGAAACCAGCCCCCAAAGCTGCCCTCACTTCCCCAATCCGCCGGGTAGGATTGCTGGGGGCTGGGGCAGGGTGGGTGGTGAGCTACGGAGTTGAGGCACGGGGTCAGAACGTTCCAACAACAAACACGACAGAAACACGATAGGAGAGCAAAGGTTTAGAAATGTAAACAAATCGCACCAAAGCAAATACAAATGCCGCTGCATCTTTTGTTGTTGTTGTTGTTATTTTACCAAGTAAGGCTCGCTGAGTTATTAGCTTATTTTATCGGAGGAAGCGACCTTGCCACAAATGACAGCTCAACGTCGTGATTTATCAAGTGGAACATTGAAAGCGGCCAAATAATTCTAAATGCGTGTCGATTCCAAACGTGGAGGGAGGGGGGGAAAAATCCGGAGGACGCCGGAGAAAAAAAAATCCACGCGACCACGGTGGGTGGGAGAGAGAGAGAGAAATACAAACTCCAAATATACAGCAGCAGGCGTCAGGGTCGAGATCGAAACCCCCCACCTCCTGTAATCCAAGCGAAGGAGTAAGGGAGTGAGTGGAGGTGAACATGTTTATATGACGACATGTCATTGATGTCGTTATGTCATTTCGATAATCGAGGATACATTAAATAAGTTGAATGCAAACAAATACAACTAATGCATGCTGAACTTCTTTCGCTCCGTACGTCGCCAACCGTGCTCATCGGAGGTGCAACAAATATCGAGCCATACACTCGCCGCTTTTCGGGTTCAACAGATCTAGAGCTACCCCTAGTGGAAGATTCCCCTCTGCCAGCAATGCCGTGAATGTGGCACTGCAGCATTGCCAGCCACCTCTTTAACTTGAGACTCGAGTGCCAATGCACCACACTTAGCATGCCGTGCGATATAAACTAAACTACTAAACAATTTTTTTCTATTTTACCAGGTAAGGCCCACTGAGCTATGTAGCTCCATTTCAGAGCCAACCGGTCTATAACTAATGATAGCCCAACGAATTGGCTTATCAATGTGGACATTTAAAGCAGCCAAATACTCTAAAAGCATGACGTTGATTCTAAATGTGGAGGGGAAAAGCCGGAGGACCCGGAGAAAAATCCACGCGACCACGGGGAGCGAGAGACACGCAAACCGCAAATATACAGCAGGCGCCAGGGTCAGGATCGAACCCACAACCTCCTGTACACCAGGCGAGGTAGTTAACATCTCCTAGCCACCGTGATGATGATGATGATGAGAGAGAGAGACACAAACTCCAAATATACAGCAAGCGTCAGGGTCTGGATCGAACCCACAACCTCCTGTATACCAGGCGAGGTAGTTAACATCTCCTAGCTACCGTGTTGCCCAATAGACGAGCGTCCCGTCTGAGACGCTACCCGGGACGCTGGAGCGCCGTACGTCATAGCAAGCCCCGCCTCCGGGCTTTGGAGATGAAAATCCTGGAAGTCGTCGTCCTTGTGACAAGGAGGCAGAGGGATTATCTCTCTGGGGTCGGCCCCCACACCAGGCACGAACGCAATCTACCCTCGGGCACTCGGCTCTCCTGCCACGCTCGCAAAGCTCACCTGGGTAAACGTGCCACGTGGTTGGAAGACATTGACTCAACGTTGGCCCAACTCGGTCGCCGTTTGCTGGGTACCCCGAGCGTGGACCGCACTCAACGCTGACGCTGAGGTAGGAAGTGAGTTGGAGGATTTGGAATTGCAGCAAGATTCTGAAGTAGAAAAGGCAGGGGAATCTGCGCCTGTGTCGTCAGGCCCGTAGTCACATGATCGTGGAAAATCCCCTGCTCGCAAAAAGAGTCGGTCGTCTCGAGATGACCACGGTGCTATGGCGACTATTGAACGAGATCCAGGCAAATGCAAGCCAATTTCAGATGATGAACCGGATGAACGTGATAGCTCACGACATGCATACCTGCAATCCGGTCCTTATCAACCTGACTTGAAGTCATATCCCAGGACCAAGTACAACCAGAATGCTCAGCCTCGTTCATTCTCTAAGATCTGGTTCAAGAATAAAGACTGCGAACAATAGTTGGAGTATTCTCCAGTGACTGACAAGGCGTACTGCTTATATTGCTACCTATTCGCCAAGCCCAATCCTGACGCCGGCACCGATGTGCTCATTCTTGACGGGTACAACAACTGGAAATCGTTTTTGGAGAAGTCGAAGGGAATAGCGAAGCATATTGGTGCAGTGAACAGCGTTCATAACAAAGCACGTCAGTCAGCGAAGTTGATGCTCGACAAGAAGGGACATATCGCCAATATATTTGAACAGATCGATGCCTCTGAGAAGAAGATCAATGGGATTCCGACTGCGTCTTCATGCACGAATTGCTCGTCATCTTGCCCTACAGGGCACTGCATCCCGAGGACACAATGAGAAAGTCGATTCCATGAATCGGGGCAATTTTCTGTAAACATGGAACTTAGTACTTGAAGAAGTCCCTGAACTGGCCAGGATGATGAGCAAGGCGCCCAAGAACGCGCTGCACACGTCAGGTGAGAGCCAAAAAGACGTCTGCCATGCGACAGCCACACTCGTGCGGCGATACATTCGGTGCGAGATCGGGAACGACGTCCCGTACACGATTTTTGCCCGACGAAGCCCGCTGCTCCGCTCGTAAAGAGTGGATGGCACTGGTCATCCGTTGGGTTGACTCGAAGGGTGAGGTTCAAGAACGATTTCTCGATATGATGCATGTCAGGGACACGTGCTCGCATACCTTGTACAAGGCTCTTTTGAGTCCCTTGCTAAAGCATGATCTATTAATGATTCGCGGTCAAGGCTTCGATGGCGCAGCCAATGTGAGCGGGGACTTTAATGGCCTCCAGACGAAAGTGAAGGAGATGAACCTGCTCGCGTGTTTCATACATTGCTGGGCGCACAAGCTGAACCTTGTAATAGTTGCCATTCTCAAGTCAAATCCAATACTCTGCTTCTTCTTTCTAGACGTCCAAAGTATTTATAACGTCGCTAGTGCATCGTCCAAGAGGGAGGGATATGCTGCGTGATGTTCAGGCCAAGAATGTCGTTGATCAGCTGAATGCCGGTGAGCTCAACACCGGTCGTGGACAGAATCTGGAACAGAATCTTCAGGCACTGTCGACAACGCGCTGGAACTGTCAACTGAACTCGGTCCAGAATCTTCACGACATGTTTGACGCCGCGATGGAAGTGGTTGAATAGCCGTCGACGGATGCTGCCGATTCCGAGAAAAGGGCTGAAGCGGCGATGCTTTATGAGCGGGCGACGTCCTTTGAATTTGCGTTGAACATGTTCCTAATGTATATTCTTGGTTCTTTCGGTAAAGTCACGTAGGAGGGAAACAAAGAACCAAGAATATGAATCCCTGCAGTCACGAAAGCTTTAAATCAAAATGTTCCTAATGATCAAAATCATATCAGCAACGAACAGCCTATCCCAATGCCTCCAGAGAAAGGACCAGTATATTCTCAATGCTTTGAGGCTTGTTCGCATGACGAAGACATCCCTGCAGATGCTGCGAGAATCAGGACGGGACGATGCTAAGAACGATGCAATTGAGTTCTGTAAAGACCACGACATCCCTGTCCCATCGCTGGGTGACATCTGGCTAGCGCGAGGTCGTCCTCGTCACCTTCCTCCTGGTCATGTGCCGCGAACCATCGAAGATCATTACCGCATTGACTTGTTTAATGCTGTTGTTGGCTCCACATTAGCTGAACTCAACCATCGTTTTTTCTTTCTCCCGATGCCTGTGAACTGCTCAGTAAGATCCCTTACCTCGACCCAGTTGACAACTTCGAATCGTGCTAGTCAAATCACGAGCAGGTCCATTGAGTTGGCGGCAATGTGCAAGGCCGATTTTTCGAGAGCTGGATCTGACTTCGCTTAAACAGGAACTCGTTGAGTTTGTCATGTGCACAGGTGACGAGGAGAACGCCGCCATATTTGAACCAGTCGAATCTAATCTGTAGCAACTGATCAAGATGGCGCCGATGATGGCAGCCTCGGCCGGTTGGTGCGCCCTGTTTTGTCCAGTTTTGTCTTGTTTTGTCTTGAGAGGGGCTTGCTGTTCAACACACTCGTGCTGGTGAGAGAGGCCTGCTGTTCATCACACCCGTGCTGGTGAGAGAGGCCTGCTGTTTTGGGGCCTGCTGTTCATCACACCCGTGCTGGTGAGAGAGGCCTGCTGTTCAGTACACCCGTGTTGAGGGGCCTGCTGTTCAGCACACCCTTGCTGGTGAGAGAGGCCTGCTGTTCAACACACCCGTGCTGGTGAGAGGGGCCTGCTTTTCAGCACACCCGTGCTGGTGAGAGGGGCCTGCTGTTCAGCACACCCGTGCTGGTGAGAGAGGCCTGCTGTTCAGCTCACACGTGTTGAGGGGCCTGCTGTTCAGCACACCCGTGCTGGTGAGAGGGGCCTGCTGTTCATCACATCCGTGTTGGTGAGAGGGGCCTGCTGTTCAGCACACCGGTGCTGGTGAGAGAGGCCTGCTGTTCAGCACACCCGTGTTGAGGGGCCTGCTGTTCAGCACACCCGTGCTGGTGAGAGGGGCCTGCTGTTGAGGGGCCTACTGTTCAGCACACCCGTGTTGGTGAGAGAGGCCTGCTGTTCAGCACACCCGTGTTGAGGGGCCTACTGTTCAGCACACCCGTGCTGGTGAGAGGGGCCTGCTGTTCAACAGACCCGTGCTGGTGAGAGGGGCCTACTGTTCAGCACACCCGTGCTGGTGAGAGGGGCCTGCTGTTCAACACACCCGTGCTGGTGAGAGGGGCCTGCTGTTCAACACACCCGTGCTGGTGAGAGGGGCCTGCTGTTCAACACACCCGTGCTGGTGAGAGGGGCCTGCTGTTCATCACACCCGTGCTGGTGAGAGAGGCCTACTATTCATCACACCCGTGCTGGTGTGAGGGGCGTGCTGTTCATCACCCCCGTGTTGGTGAGAGGGGCCTGCTGTTCACTCCCATGCTGGTGAGAGAGGCCTACTGTTCATCACACCCGTGTTGGTGAGAGGGGCCTGCTGTTCACCACTCCCATGCTGGTGAGAGGGGCCTACTGTTCAACACACCAGTGCTGGTGAGAGAGTCCTGCTGTTCAGCACACCCGTGCTGGTGCGAAGATGGCGCTGATGATGGTAGCCTCAGCCGGTCGGTGCGCCCTGTTTTGTCTTGTTTTGTCTGTCAATTCAGTGTTTTGCCAAGATTTTCGGAGTTCTCTAACAAGAGACGAACTTTTAAATATCAGGGAAACAACTCCTGTGGATTTAATTCCTACTTTTCTGCTTCCAGCGGCAGAATTAGTAGGCATTCTAGTCAATGCCGCGCTAGGCTTTGCTCAAGCAACGAAACGCCGCCCAAGGGGTAAACGGTCGGGGGCTCTAGTACGGCTACGCAGACGCGGGATCCGAACAGTGCTTCCGAGCTTTTTCCTCTCCAACGTACGTTCACTGTACAACAAAATGGATGAACTTCAGCTACTGATGGTAAAAAACAAAGACTTTCTTTCAGCTTCTGCATTGTGCTTCACGGAAACATGGCTGTGTGATTTGATTCCGGACACTTCGCTACAACTAGCAGGATTCCATCTTGTAAGATCGGATCGTGACATAGCACTCTCCGGCAAGACGAAAGGCGGTGCTATTTGTTTTTACATTAACAGTGGCTGGTGTGTAGATGTCACAGTGATTCTGCAACATTGTTCTCCACTCCTTGAATCAATTTTTATAACTTGTAAACCGTTTTACTCGCCTCGCGAGTTCGCGTCGCTCATTTTGGTCGGAGTTTATTTGCCGCCTTGTCCTCAGGTTAAAGAGGCCCAACGCATGCTCGCCGATCAGATTCTGAGTGTGGAGCGAGCAAATCCAGATTCGTTGGTTATCGTACTTGGCGACTTTAACAAAGGTAATCTCAGCCACGAACTCCCCAAATACATACAATTCATTAAATGCCCAACCAGAGAAGGGAACACTCTGGATCACTGCTACACTACAGTCAGTAGAGCCTACCACGCCGTCCCCCGAGCAGCACTAGGACACTCTGACCATGCCATGGTCCACCTGATTCCTGCATACAGGCAGAAACTAAAACTCTGTAAACCTGCTGTGAGGACATCTAAACAGTGGACCAGTGAGGCTGTGGAAGATTTGCGGGCGTGCTTAGACTGTACTGACTGGGATATGTTCACGACTGCTACCAATAGTCTGGATGAACTCACAGAGGCTGTGACGTCCTACATCAGCTTCTGTGAGGACTGCTGTATCCCAACACGTACCAGGGTGAACTTTAACAACAATAATCCCTGGTTCTCAGCAAAGCTCAGAAGGTTGAGGTTGGAGAAGGAGGAAGCGTTTAGGAGTGGAGATAGAGACAGATTCAAGGAGTCGAAGAACAGGTTTAGCAAAGTGGTGAGAGAGGCTAAACGACTGTACTCAGAGAGACTAAAACACCAGTTCTCTACAAACGACGCTGCTTCTGTCTGGAGAGGGCTCAGGCAGATCACCAACTACAAACCCAGAGCCCCCCACACCACTAACGACTCCCGCCTAGCCAACGACCTGAACGAGTTCTACTGTAGATTTGAAAGACAATTGGACTGTCCTGAACCACCCCTTCCAACCCAAGAGGCCCCATCCCCCACCAATACTACAGAGACGACTATCTCCTTTCAGGAGGGAGAAGTTAATAGACTTTTCAAGAGGCAGAATCCACGCAAAGCAGCCGGGCCGGACTCTGTCTCTCCAGCCACCCTCAGGCACTGCGCTGACCAGCTGTCTCCGGTGTTCACCAACATCTTTAACACCTCCCTGGAGACATGCCATGTACCAGCCTGTCTCAAGTCCTCCACCATCATCCCTGTGCCCAAAAAGCTAAGGCCAACAGGACTAAATGATTACAGACCGGTCGCCCTTACATCTGTGGTAATGAAGTCTTTTGAGCGCCTGGTCCTGGCACACCTCAAAGCCATCACAGACCCTCTCCTGGACCCCCTTCAGTTTGCCTACAGAGCCAACAGGTCTGTGGACGATGCAGTTAACATGGCCCTCCACTTCACCCTACAGCATCTGGACGCCCCAGCATCCTACGCCAGGATCCTGTTTGTGGACTTCAGCTCTGCCTTCAACACCATCATCCCTGCCCTGCTTCAGGACAAGCTCTTCCAGCTGAACGTGCCATACACCACCTGTAAATGGATCACAGACTTCCTGTCTGACAGGAAGCAGTGCGTTAAGCTGGGAACACAAGTCTCTGGCTCCAGGTCCATCAGCACCGGAACTCCTCAGGGCTGCGTCCTTTCCCCTCTGCTCTTCTCCCTGTATACCAACAGCTGCACCTCCAATCATCTGTCCGTCAAACTATTGAAGTTTGCGGATGACACCACCCTCATTGGGCTGATCTCTGGTGGGGATGAGTCTGACTATAGGTGGGAAGCTGACAATCTGGTGACCTGGTGTAGCCAGAACAACTTAGAGCTAAATGCTCTAAAGACAGTTGAGATGGTTGTGGACTTCAGGAAGAATACAGCACCACTCACCCCCATCACCCTGTTAGACTCCCCAGTCAAAATTGTAGAGTCCTTCCGCTTCCTGGGCACTATTCTCTCCCGGGACCTCAAGTGGGAATTGAACATCAGCTCCCTCACCAAGAAAGCTCAACAGAGGATGTACTTTCTACGGCAGCTGAAGAAGTTCAACCTGCCAAAGACAATGATGGTGCAATTCTATACAGCGATCATTGAATCCATCCTCACCTCCTCCATAACCGTCTGGTACGCTGCTGCCACTGCCAAGGACAAGAGCAGACTGCAGCGTATCATCCACACTGCTGAGAAGGTAATTGCCTGCAATCTACCGACCCTCGAGGACCTGCACACGACAAGGTCTATGAGGCGAGCGAGGAAGATTATGGCCGATTTCTCCCACCCTGGACACTCTCTGTTTCAGCTACTCCCCTCCGGCAGAAGGCTTCGGTCCATCAGGACCAAAACCTCACGCCATAAAAAACAGTTTCTTCCCATCTGCTGCTGGCCTGTTAAACAAGGCCAAGGGCTAACACTGTTTTTAACATTTGATCTACATAACGACACGTTGCTGATATTAACTATGTTTCCCTATTTGTATTTTTAAATTATATCTTAAAGCTATTTTATATTCGATATTTATTTAATTTTATATACTTCAGCCCCTTAATGTTAGACTTTTAACCCTTATTATAGTAAGACTTGTTTAAAACTTATTTAAGATTTTAGATTCCTATATGTTGAATGTATGCACCATCCTGCCAAAGTAAATTCCGTGTCGGTGTGAACTTACATGGCGAATAAAACCCTTTCTGATCTGATTCTGATCTGAGCATCGTTTTCTGCAAGCGCAGACTTGTAAGCATATTTCCCTCAGTTGTATAAGCTCATTCGACTGATCCTGACTCTCCCGATCTCGACGGCCACCACCGAGCGCGCATTCTCCGCCGTGAAAATCTTGAAGACGCGGCTGCGCACAAGCAAGGGCGACGACTGGATGGCCGACTTGATGGTGATATACATCGAGAAGGCTATCGCGAAGTCCCTCAATCTCTCCGATTATTGTCCAGCAGTTCGTGAGCATGTCAGCTCGCCGAGCTCAAATCCAATAAAATTTGTTTTATACATTTGTGGCGCCCATCGAAAAACATAAACACTGGATATCTCAGAATATTGAAGTCAGCCCCCCCAAAGTAAAATCCTGGCTCCGCCCCTGATGCTGGATATCCAGCGGCATCACTCACTACTTTTGGCTGCTGCATTTTGTGTGTCTGTTCTTCCCCTTGTAACTGCAGGCTTTTCCCTGGGCTGCACGGTGCAGTCTCACACCAAGGGCATCTGGGTCTGTGTGTGTCTGTTCTTCCCCTTGTAACCGCAGGCTTTTCCCTGGGCTGCACGGTGCAGTCTCACACCAAGGGCATCTGGGTTTCTGTGTGTGTGTCTGTTCTTGCCCTTGTAACCGCAGGCTTTTCCCTGGGCTGCACGGTGCAGTCTCACACCAAGGGCATCTGGGTCTGGCCCAGACCCCATCCACTGGACCAGAACAAGTGGCTGCTGCTGCTCGACACCGAGGGCCTGGGAGACGTGGAGTCGGTCAGTGGCCGATCTCCTCGTCCGTTCTGGTGGGGGGGGGGGGGGCGGGGGTGGTTGCCCCCCCCCCCCCCCCTTCTCCCCTATTTCATTCTGGGGTCGGGCACCGGGGCGGTATAGCCACCAACCCTTGTCCCAGTGGCTTTGCTGCCGGCAAATTTTTTCTTATGTGTGTTGAACTTCTTTCGCACCGTATGTAGCAAACCGTGCTAATCGGAGGTGTGGTGGAGGTTTACAATCTAGGTGCAGGGAGGGGCGGTGGTAGTCGCTGCTCTACGCCGATTGCCACCTGGCCTGAGCTAGCTGCCCGTTGAATGTCTCCGATCTTGGTAGTCCTCAACAAATTGAATCGACCATGACTCCGCTTCAATCCGGTTTTACTGCTGTACTCGGGTTTGTTTGCTCGGCGGCCCGTGAGCTCATGGGAATGTTCACCCGGAGTGGCAACGTCCCACTCCAAATGCGACGGTCGGTTCGAACGCAGGGCCGTCCATAGGCGGGTGCGGTGGCCGGGACAAACCCCAATTATAAAACTCTTCAACAATCAGCTATTTTTATTTTTTCCCAGATAAGGACCACTTGCTCTTTTTCAGAAGAGGCCTCGCCACAAGTGATGGCCCAACGAAGTGGCTCATGGCGCAGAAATTCATAGCAGCAGTCAAATACTCTGATCGCGTGACGTTGATTCTAAATGTGGAGGAGAAAAATCCACGCGACCGCAACGGGGACCACCGCGGCGATAGGGCGCCACCGTGTGCCCGCCCCCCCCCCCCAAGTGCGGGGCCCGGGGCGTCCGCCCAGATTCGCCGTGCCCTGGGGGGACGGCCCTGCGAACGTGGTACATACAAACTGCTGTGGCGACACGGCGCGTCGTCTCTTCTATGTGCCACAGGCCGGAAGCACGCACGACACGTGGCTCTTCGTGATGGCCGTGCTGCTGAGCACCACGCTGGTCTACAACGTCGTGGGCACGCTCGACAAGGAAGGCCTCGAGCAGCTGCAGTATCCTCCCAACGCGACCGCGGCTGCGTAACGCTGCCGCCCCTGCCGCCGCCAACCTCATGGATGCCGTGAACCCACGGAGACGATCGCTCGTCTCGCGCGCTACGGCCGTTCCCTCCTCGTCGTTTTGTATTCCCGCCCCGTGGACCCCCTTCTGTCCAGGTCACCTTTTGAACTCGGCGCTTCGCGGGCCTTTACCCAACGCCGCTTCTTCAACCGCTCGTTGTCTCCATCGTCTCTGCCCACAGCTAAACCCGTCTCGCGCGTCCTCCCCGCCCGATCGCGGTTTGCCTTCTATTTTCCTGCCTCCTCCTTTTGCCATGCCTCTCTTCGAACCCTCCGCCGACTGCTACCCTGACGATCGCTTTACCCCGCCCACCCCCGCGTTGGTGGCGAAATGTTAACTTCCCATCTGACCCTGACGCCTGCTGTATATTTGGCGTTTGCGTGTTCTCCCCCGTGGTCACGTGGATTTTTATCCGGGTCCTCCTGGTTTTCCCCCTCCGCAATCTATAATCGATGTGCATGTGGAGTATTTGGCTGCTGTAAATTTCCACGAAGTTTTGTTTACAGCTTGCAAACTGCGACGTTTAAGGAGGGGCACAGAAACTCGGCGGGTAAAAATTCCAAAATCTCTCATGTTCCTGCACAATCAACAGAATGTAGGGTGGGGGGGGGCGGGGGTGGAAGTTGGGCTCACTGTCCCACCCAGGTAAGGACTGCAAGCAGGAACTTCTATATTTGTATCAGGAAGCGGTGATGAGGGAGGAAGAAGCTACCCTGGTTTCCTTAACACACTCCACTCCACTCTGTCCCACTCCGCTCCACTACACCCTATTCTGCTCCACCCCGCTGCGATCCGCTCCATTTTGCTCCAATCTACTCCGCACCGCTCCATCCCCGCTCCGCTCGCGTCACAGCTTCGTGCTGAACATGACGGACCACGTGAGGACGCGTGTGAACCAGGACGAGGACGAGCTCGGCTCGGACTTCGAGCGCTACTTCCCCCCGCTGGTGATCTGCGTGCGCGACTTCACGCTGAAGCTGCTCGTCGACGGGGAGCCGTGCTCGGCCGACGAGTACATGGAGCACTGCCTGCAGATGCGCATGGCGGGGAAGACGCCGGACTGCCGACGGTTCAACGAGCAGAGGCAGCTCCTGTGCGGTTACTTCAAGGTAGAGTTCGCGCCCCATCCTCCAGACCTGTCTTGCATCCCCGCACGTCGCGCCCATCGAACTCGAATCGTGAACTTTTAACGGTCCGGAGCTTTCTCGTTCGCGCTCATTGCACACGCAGTGCTCGCCACAAATGAACCACGCCACCTCGGCTGTTCTCGTCAAGGGGCGTAAACCGCCATCGTGTGAACTCCGCTCATTCTCGCAGCAGCGGAGGCTTTCGGCTCGCCGTCGAACAGAAACGGTCACCGCATCGCGCAGCGCTTTCAGATGCGCTTCTGCGGCCGTCTGGAACGCTCTTCCTTCCGAAGTTAGGGAGCTACTGGGAATTGTGCAATTTTAAATGTAGGTTGAAAACCCATTTCTTTAGAGCTGCTTTTTGTGTTTAGTTTGTTGTCCTTCCCCTACAACACCGATTAGCACGGTTGGCTACATCCGGTGGTGCGAAAGAAGTTGAGCATACATACGTCTAATCTCAACATTTGTCACCCACTGGGACACACTTGTGTGGATGGTCCAAATCATATGTTAGCCTTGCCCGTTTATCATATTTACCCATAGCCTGCCAAGGCAAGTACACGTTACGTATTCAAACTCTTTCAACTGGTTACATCAGCGCAGTGTACTTTCATTGCATTGTGCTGCATTAAATACAATTACAACAACACAACATTAATACTGTTATGGTAAGCCTTCGCTTTAACGCGTGGTGGTTCACATGATAACGCATTTTCGCGACGACGCGGTTCTTCAAATTGGGGAACACTTTTCGCACAAAGCGGAACGTGCGCCGTTACGACGCAGCTTCTTAAGCGGTCAACGACAAACTATTTTCTTGAGCTGCGTGGCTGAGCGGCAGGACACTAGCACGCGGAATGATAGAGTAATTCGGCGGTGTACCCTCGGTTATTTGTCCCACCATCTCAATGCGTGGTGTGTGCGTAGTCGCCAAACTTTATCGTCACATGATTCACGGGGAAATCGTTTTTCGCCCTAATGCGGCACTTTTCAGGAACGCATCGACCGCGTTAAACGTTGACTTGCTGTGCATGACGGCACAATGCGATCAGTGACTAGTTGCCTTCGACGTCCTTTACAAGCACAGCGCATCAAGTATTTGTCGATTAAAGGGAACCCTCCCCCACCACGTGGCAATCGGGGGCGCGCTTCTGTTCCCGAAGGATCGGAAGTGCTTCGTGTTTCCAATGCCGACGCGCCGGGAGGACTTGGAGTCCATCGAGAGCCTCCCGGACGGGAGCCTCGACCCGGAGTTCCTGGCGACGGCGGAGAAGTTCACGAGCCACGTGCTGGGACGAGCCGCCAGCAAGCACATCGACGGCGCCATCCTCACCGGCCAATGTGAGCCATCGCGAGGAGCGCCCCAAACCCTTTCCCGTACCGAGACGCGTGGGTACGGCGCACGCACGTGGCATTTCTCGGCCTTAATCTTCACTGTCTTTGCTGGACACACCACTGCGATGATTCGCGTGCGGGCACGGCAACGCGACATGCGCATGGGATGTCCGTGCAGCTGTTAAACCCTCTGCAAGGAAAAAAATGTATACAGAATGACACCAGGCAGCGTGCACTCGGCGCGCTCCTCCAAGTGTCAACGTCTCGCTTGGAGATTGTAATTCTTGGGAGTCATTGACTACGCACGGTCGAACCGGGTGGCGCTTTCCATTTTTAACGGTTGTGCAATTTCAGCACACAGTGAGCCCAACATTCCCCCCCCCCCACCCTCCATGCTGTTGATTGTGCAGGAGCGAGACATTTTGGAATTTTTACCCGCTGAATTTCTGTGCCCCTCCTCATATATTGCGGTTTACAAAATCAACTATTTTTATTCTACCAGGTAAGGCCCACTGAGCTATGTAGCTCTTTTTTTGAGAAACGACCTGGCCCACAAATGATAGCAGAATGAAGTAAGTGGCTTATCACGTGGTCATTTATAGCAGCCAAATACTCTAAATGCATGTTTCCAAAGACTCGTAGAGACCCACAGAGACCCATAGAGACCCATACTCATAGAGACCTACAGAGGCTCATAGAGACCCATAATCAGAGACTTATCGAGACCCAGACACCCATACTCATCTAAACCCATACTAAAACTAAACTTTTTATTTGACTAGGTAAGGCCCACTGAGCTATGTAGCTCTTTTTAATAAGTGACCTGACCACAAATGATAGCCCAACGAAGTGGCTTAACGTGTGGAAATTGACATCAGCCAAATACTCGAAACGCGTGACGTTGATTATAAAAGTGAAGGGGAAAAACCCTTTCCCATTCCGAGATGTCTCCAAGTTGCAGGGTGGGTCCCCCGTTCACCGCTGAATCTCGGATCGCGCGAGCGTCCTCAGCGTGAATTTTATGTAGAGAGGCGTAGCGCCGTTGTTTAAAAAAAAAAACATTGTACTCACCGCAGAGAACTGTAGCGACACGACCGCACTCTACGATAGCTGCCGCCAAACTTTGCTGATAAGGTTATTTTAGATTTTATTCCCGTTTCTTCTGGAATCGTAATGGGAAAGGGTTAAGTCGATGGTACCATCAACTGGAGTTTATTCAGCAGAACGCGGCATGTCAAGTTTCGAGTTGAGTTAAAAGAAAAAATAAATAGCTAACTAAAAAATTAAATGGACATCGTCGCTTGCTCTGCTTGCGCCGCTCGTACTCCCTCGTCTCTCTCGATGTCTCTCCCCACATCTCTTCACGTCTCTCTCCGATTTCTCTCTTGGCGTCTCTCCCCACATCTATCCGCGTTTCTTCCCATCTCTCTCTCCGTGTCTCCCTGTGTCTCTCCGCATCTCTCTCAGCGTCTCTCTCCACGTTGTCTCCCCGCGTCTCATTTCGCATGCCTCCCCCGCGTCTCTCTCAGCCTTCGTGCAGCTGGCAGGGCAGTACGTGACGGCGCAGCGTGACGGCGCCGTGCCCTGCATCGAGAGCGCCCTGGAGCGGGTGACCACGCTCACCAACCTGCAGGCCAAGGAGGAGGCGCTGGCCCTCTACCGCGAGAGGACGGCCGTCGCCGTGACGGGGGACGAGCGGACGCCGCTCCCGACATCGGAGGAGCTCGGCCGCTTGCACCAGCGTGGAGCGCGCGACGCCGTGGATCTGTTCCACGAACGCTCGCTGCTCGACAGGGAGCACAGGCACGAGCAGGAGCTCATGGTGAGCGAAGCTTCGCCAGGATCGGTCCGCAGAATAGCCAGCCCCGATTATAATTTACGGCACGTAAGTGAGTTGTTGTCAAGTGAAATCCGATAACAGAGTGCACACCGGTGAAGGTGTTCTAGCGCGCCCTTTCTCGCGGCATATTAGCCCGCAGGTCAAGAGGTCATCGCGGCCACTGCCGTTGATGCCACCACCATCACACTTCACCGTGGCTTTCTTCTGCCACAAACTTCAGGTGTCGCACAGTCGACACGCAGCCGCATTGGTCTCCTCGTGCAGAATCCTCTCACCTGTGGGTTTTTTCCCATTGGTTTAGATTATTTATATAATTTTGCTGCTTGTAAATTTCCACGCGATTTAAGCCACTCCGTCGAGCTTTCGGCTGCGATAGGCGCGTCGCTTCTTTAAAAAAATAAAAAGCTACACAGCTCTGCGGGCCTTACCTGGTAAAAAAATAATAATCGTAGCAGTAAAAAAAAACATAGCAGCGTGCTGCGCCGACGTGTCCACGTTATTTATTGACGTGGTTGCTGCAGGTGTGCCTGGCAGAAGAGTACTCCAAGTTGGCGCAGCGGAACGCGGAAGCCTCGGCGCTGAGGTGCGAGCGTCGCCTTGAGGAGCTCTACGGGCCCATCAGGGCGATGCTGCACGAGGACGAGGCCTTCGTGAGGGAAGGGGCCTTCCGGGAGTACGAGAGGCTGATGGAGCTGCTGCAGGCAGCCTACCGCGACACCCAAGGCCTGGGGGACGAGGTAGCAGCGCGTGGCGTCCGTTTAAAACTAAACTGCTGAAAACTAAACACATTTTTTTTTTACCAGAGTTGTGTGTGGCTCTTTTTTTCAGAAGCGACCTGGCCCACAAATGATCGCTCAACGAAGTGAGCGGCTGATCACGTGATCATTTATAGCAGCCAAATACTCTAAACGCGTGTTTCTACAGACTCGTAGAGACCCATAGAGACCCATAGAGACCCATAGAGACCAATAGAGACCCATAGACACCCATAGAGACCCATAGAGACCCACAGAGACCCATAGAGACCCATAGAGACCCACAGAGACCCATACTCATAGAAACTCATAGAGACCCACAGAGACCCATACTCATAGAGACCCATAGACACCCACAGAGACCCATAAAGACCCATACTCATAGAGACCCACAGAGACCCATAGAGACCCATAGAGACCCATACTCAGAGACTCACAGAGACCCATACTCATAGATACTCGTAGAGACCCATAGAGACCCATATTCATCGAGACCCACAGAGAGCCATACTCAGAGACCCATGGAGACTCAGACACCCATATACTCATCGATACCCATACTAAAACCAAACTTTTTATTTGACTAGGTAAGGCGCACTGAGCTAAAGAGCTCTTTTTAACAAGTGACCTGACCTCAAATGATAGACCAACGAAGTGGCTTGTCGCGTGGAAATTCATAGCAGCCAAATACTCTTAACGCGTGACGTTGATTCTATATGTGGAGGGAAAAACCGGAGGACCTGGAGAAAAATCACACGCGACCACGGAGAGAGAGACACACAAACTGCAAATATACAGCGGCAGGCGTTGTGGTTCGGGATCGGATCCACGACCTCCTGCATACTTACGGTGGCGAGATCGCTAATCGCCAAGGCGATAATTTTTTTGCTGTTTGTGCTTCTTTTAGTGAGATTCATTTATGCATTCATCTCGGTAGGTTGAATATACGTTAATTAAAAATGGTGCGATTGCATTTTGCGGTGATGTTATCACCCTCTGCAAAACAAAAACGCTCAACACATTCGGCAACAAACATTCAATTACGCGCTCTGAAGAAGGAGCATCACCTTAAACGTCGCCCGGTATATATTTCCCTGTTCTTGTATCGTTAATTGTGCTCGCGCACCACTGCCACCATCGCAGTGGCAGCAAGCGCGTCACGTCGTGAAATTATTATTTACAAACTGAAGTTTGGTACAAAACTTGTTGTTGTTGTTGTTAAAATAACAACAACAATAATAAAACAACAACATTTTATCTCCTCCAAAATTCCAATAATCATCGCCCGGAAGGTTATTTTGACCCAACTGGAAGAACCTCGAGCCACCCACCTGGAAACAACGGTGCAGTACGCCTACGAAGCAGCATGAAATTGAACACCTGAGCCATAAGCTCAAGGGAAAGGAGGGGGAATTCGAGCCCAGATGGTCCACCACCACCCCCCCCCCCCGTTATACAACACCTCAAACAAGTTAGCGGGATGGAGGGGGTAGAGAGACTGGGACGGGGGACAAGGGGCATAACCATTGTGGGAGAGACGGAGAGCCGGATTCGGAGGGGTGGAAGGAAAAAACGCTCGTTTATGGCCGCCTCTTACGTTGAAACAATTGTCTTTGTGTCAAGCGTGTGTGTCGGTTATGTGCCTCTCTCCCCTTGCCATCCCTTCCCCCTTGCTGTATAAAACCAAAGTTGCCCTTCCTCCACCCCCCTCGGTGGGGGGGGGGGACCCCCTTGTATGGTTTGGGGCAGCGAGCCCGTTCCCCATCATTCTATAGCTCCCTGCTTTTCATACGCTGTTCGGCCTACGTTGACGGTGCACGTGCGCGCACACAGGTGCGTCGCAACGTGGTGTGTCGGGGGCCCCGCACATTTGCCTCCGATAAAAAAAAAGTTTTTTTTCTACAGGAAATCATCGTTTTAAAAATATATATATGCGCCTGGGTTATTCGCAGAAGGACAGCATCCTCGTGGCCTTCATGAAGAGCAAGGAGGAAGGGAGGTGCCACCTGCTGCTGCTGGACAACACCATCTCCCAGGCGGAGAGGGAGAGGCTCGGTGAGTTCTCGAGCTCGCCTCTGGGCCATCGAGGGCCTCCTCGACTGCCCGTGCCCTCGCACAACCTCCGATGAGCACGCGGTTTGGATACGTACAGCTCGAAAGAAGTTCAGCATGCGTACGTACGGGATAGAGTGTTCCTCCTTCAGGGGCACAGCTACTCCCGAGTTCTGCGAGAACAGACTGCATGTAAATCTTGACTTAAAGCTTTCGTGACTGCAGGAATGCATATTCTTTGGGTCTTTCGGTAAAGTCACGTAGATAGGTTGAAAGAAAATAACAAAAACAACTACGACGTTTCGATCGCAACGCAAGCGGTCGTCACCAGGATGAAGAAAAAAAGAGACCGCTTGTGTTGCCATCGAAACGTCGTAGTTTTTGTTGTTGTTATTTTATTTGAACCCATCTACGTGACTTCACCGAAAGGCACAAAGAATCGACTGTACGTATTTTTTATTTTTTGATAGTTATCTACACCGGAGGAACCCGGTGAGCTTGTAAAGCTTCCTCATTCACGCACGTCCAGCAAAAAACGAGAGGTGCGTTCACTTCACAGAGAGGGAGAGCTTGGAGAAGCAGTTGGAGATTGAGAAGCGAGCGCTGGAGCAGAAGAACGCTCAGCAGCAAGCGCAGATGCAGGCGCTGCGGGAGCAAATGGAGGTGAGGGGCCAGCCACCGGTTGCCATGGTCAGCTAAACTGAACAGTTTTAACACGTAGCAGTAGTAGCTTTTCACGGCCAATGTTATCCATAATACAGTTGTTTGTTTTTTTTTGGGTCAGATCGCGTAAGAATTAATGTGTCGTTAAACCCGCCACCACCCAAGACAGCCAATTAGTAAGGTTTGTCACGTGCACAAAAAGTTCTAATTCAGTTACTAGATAAGCAACACCGGTGTGTTGGAGAGTAAACTCGCAATATTTGCAAAACTAAACAACTAAAAAGGTAACTTTTTATATTTTACCAGGTAAGGCCCACTGAGCTACGTAGCTCTTTTTCAGAAGCAACCTGGCGATCACAAATGATAGCCCAACGAAGTGGACTTATCATTATGTGGGAAACTTATAGCAGCCAAATACTCTAAACGCACGTTTGTAAATGTGGAGGGAAAAACCGATGCAGTCAGATAAAAGTTCACACGACCACGGGCAGCCAGACATGCAAACTCCAAATATAGAGCAGCAGGCTTCAGGGCTGGGATCGAACCCACGACCTCCTGTATACCAGGCAAGGGAGTTAACATCTCGTAGCCGCCGTGACAACCCTATAAACGCAGCTTCTGTGTCGATGGCGTAGGCTGCGCCCTGCCCTCTCAGCTCCTTGCAGGTGAATTAAAATTTTAAAAGAACTTAATGCATTCGTCAATCCCGCTGCCTTCAGAGGAAAAGTACATTAAAAGCATATAAATGATAAAAAATACGTTACAAGTATATGTGTGAAAAGTATAAATGGGCCATTGGTATGTTACGTGCGTGGCTTCTTCCGCTTCACCACTCGCCTGTTTTTGTTTTGTTTTCCTGTAACAGCCAAAAGCTTTTTTTGCATCTCTTTCCCAAAGTCCAATCTACAGTGACTTGTAAGAGGCACTTAAAGGCACCACCACTTTCTTGAAGGTCCCAGCTCTTTTTTTAAAGGCCCCTACCACTGTCATAAAGGCTTCCCCACTCTCTCAAAGGCCCCGCTACTTTCTTAAAGGCTCCACCACTTTCTCAAAGGCTCCACCAGTTTCTCAAAAGCCTCACCACTTTCTCAAAGGGGCCCCCTCCCTCATCTCTGGCTTTTGAGCGACACTGAGCCTAGCTCCGCTTCCTCACAGTTGTGGTCTGTGAAATATTGCGTGCATTACAAATTGCATCGTGATATTGACATTGCACCCAGATTCCCATATATTTACATTCGTCTAACTTAAAACAAATATATATCTACAATCAGGAAAAGTACGGTGTGCCTAAAGACATTGGTACGGTACCTCGGTTGCATCGGATGTATTTTCTCACTCTGCGCTACGGCGTCAAAAGCCGGGGATGGTTTCACGTTGGCTGTTTTTTTTATCCACAGGAAAACAATCGAGCATTCGAAGAGAAGATCAAGAGCATCCAGGAGCAAGTTCCAGTGCAGAGCGACGTGACGGAAAATCATCATACCCAGCTGCAAGACGTATTGCAAGCGGTGATTCCTATCGTCATGCAAATTGCCGGCTTTTTCTTGAAGGGTGGGTTCATGCGCATGGTATAAAAAAACAAAGCTCTTCCCAAATGCGACGAGTTTTCTCGTGAATTTTGGGAGGCAGTCGCACGCTTTTAAATTCTTCTTACCGCTTCTCTCAAGGGAAATTTCACGGTTGTACTTTGTGAGATGAGTTATACTCTCTGTAGCGTGCCAGTGACTTCGTGTTAATCAGGTGTAAACGAAAGTCAGATTTTTGGTGTGAGCTCCAGAATATACTAAATGGTTTAATGTGTGATGATATCATTGCCCAGGTCGACGTAGCCCTTATGGGTTTGGGACACATTACTGCAGACGTGGCAAGATTGGAAATCGCTGCAATCCTCAAAAACGCTAATACACCTATTAGCAACAACAGTAAGGATAAGCACTTTCTCAATTAAAAAAGAGAGATGATATCGTCATCCTCTCAGCTGACAAGGGCAATGCCACAGTTATCATGGACAAAACCACATAAAATAACAACATTCAGGACCTACTTAATGATGGTAGCTATATTCTTAGCTCTTTCAGTAAAGTCACGTTGAAGGGAAACAATAAAAGAATAAAATATATATATAAAACAATAATTACAAGTGATCCCACCAACCGCCTCGTTATGAAAACCAACAATATCATCACTGATTCGACATTTTTGATCGAACCAACCAAGCGGTTTTCCTTAAAACCCTCTGCTGCTAGACCACCCAGATTGTATGGATTTATCAAAAATCCATAAAGAAGAGGGACACCCCTTGGTCCTATCGTCTCCACCACTGACTCACCCACCTACAAACTGGCCCAATTTCTGTCTGAGACCTTGCAACCATTCACTGGTAAGACCGCCTCAGCTGTACTTAACCCAGCTCACTTGGTATCGTTAATTAAGGACATCTCACTATCTCCAGGTGATTTGCTCGTTAGTTTTGATGTGGTCTCTTTGTTTACCAAAGTTCCAGTGCTTGACACCATTGCAATCATTGAAGATTTGGTCCAACAAGGACTGAATGCTGATGTACTGGCCCTGGTGAGACACTGCCTCACCAACACTTACTTCACCTGGAATGGAACATTCTACAATCAAGTTGAAGATACCCCAATGGGTTTTCTCTTATCTCCAGTTGTAGCCAATGTTTTAATGGGAAAATTTGACACAGATGCCATCCAGGCATCCACTCTACGTCCGTCCTTGTGGAAGAGGTACGTAGATGACACGTTCGTCATCTGGCCACATGGCCGACCAGCTCTGAACCAATTCCTCAACCACATAAATTCCATACACCCAGACATCAAATTCACCATGGAGGTGGAAAAGGATGGCAAGTTACCATTCTTGGATGTTTTAACCGAAAAGAGACCAGATGGCTCAATGGGACATTCTTTCTACAGGAAAGCCACCTATACAGATGCTTACCTAAAACCTGACTCCCACCACCAGCCATCCCAGAAGAATTCCCTCATCAAAACTCTACACCATAGAGCTCGATGTATTTCTGACCGTGATCACCTAGCCAGTGAACTGGAACACGTACACTAAGCTCTCAAGATGAATGGATATTCAGACAACACAATCCGTCAAGCTATCACCCCAACCGTTGGGAAAGAACCGAGGACCAAATGAAAGCCATCACCTTATCATACATAGCAGGGGTCGCTAAAAAGATTTCCAAAATCATGAGCAAATGCAAGATCCAGGTTCGATTTAACACGGTACATAACATTCGTGATTTGATCCCATCTGTGAAGGATGTGATCCCTGACATGCAATACCCCGGCGTCTACAAACTAAGCTGTGTCTGCAGCAGCAGTTACATTGGGGAAACTAAGCGACATGTCTCGGACCGTGTTCGTGAACATAAGGCAGATCTGAAATGCGGTAGGACCAATACCTCGGTTGTGGCCGATATTGTTTTAATGCAGTAGGCTCACACGAAATTGATTTCCCTACGACGAAGATACTTTGCAAGCCCACTGGCTATCAACAAAGATTCGTTCATGAAGCCATCCATATATTTAGACAGACACAATTTCAACCGAGAAGATGGGTACAAACTGAGCAATCATTGGAAGGACGTTATCAACCAGTTTAATTCATAATTGGCTGTGATGTTCCCATCCTACCACCTTCCGATGTGAGTTGTGCTTTACGCCCATTACACACTTGCGCTGTCACAGGGTTCACACGAGCACAGCCACTTTGCACGCCGACCCCTTGGTTGCGGCTCTGCGGTCTCCCATTAACATGCTAATCTCTCTTTAACATGCTAATTTTAACCTGGCAGCCCTTTGATTGGTGGAAAACCAACCACCGTCGGGTTGGCTGTCCACCACTTACATTATCATTGGCTGCTGACATTTGGGCTACGCCCATTTCAAACCCTTATACACAGTTTGCCTTGGAAGCTAACCCCCCTTTTCCTGAAGATGACCGCTTGCGTTGCGATTGAAACGTCGTAGTTTTTTTTTGTAATTTTTTGTTATTTTCTTTGAACCTATCTACGTGACTTTACCGAAAGACCCAAGAATATGAATTCCTGCAGTCACGAAAGCTTTAAGTCAAGACTGGTTTATTTTGGTAAAATTAGTCTGTTGGGACATCTTGAGACAAGATATTGCGGTCAGTGTAAGAGGCATTCTTCACTGTCATTGATCCACACAAATCCACTGATTGGTCCTTCAGTCACCCTTGACCTGCTTGATATACAGGCACCTTTGAGAAATATACTTAGCAAACATGTTGCGTGTTTATGGGCATATTTTCACGAGATCTTTTTAAAAATATAAGTGGTGCATTGCATGACTACTCCGTTGACAATCACATCAGGTGTGTGCAAAACTCGAGGAATAAAAACAGCTGCGGATGCCGTTTTAAAAACGACAGAAACCTCATAAGGCAGAGTGATCTTTTTTGCAAGGTCCCGCTGGCCACTGGCCGCTCCTGGTGGCCTTTAGCGCGGCCCCGGACAAGAGACATCGTGTGAAAACGGCCCCATCGTGCTGCTGTCAAACCCCAATGGTTTCAAATGATGTGGCGGCCCTCACACTGACGATGTCTTATCAGCGGAAGTGGCCCCCCTCTGAAAATGAGTGAAGAACGCCGTCTTAAAACGACACAAAAAACCGGTTGCCACCACGAGGCGCGACGCTGCACTGGTGCACGCGGCGCGGAAAATGAGCGCAAACTTTATTACAGCTCAAGTTTAATCGCTTAACCAGACGGCGAAAACTACGGCTAAACCTTTAATTCGTTAAAAATTTACGCAGCACAAATTCTACCGACCCGCCAACCCAGAGGAGAGAGGGGAACGCGTCGTGACTCCAACCAACACTGCCCATTGACCGTGCCGGATTTAGGCATCGGTTAAGTAAGCTATAGAGGACCCAAGGGTCGGCAACCAGAATAAGAAGAAGTGGCATTTTTTTCGAAGTCTGTAAAAAAAAAATCGATCATTCAAGAGCCGCAATCTATGTGAGTACGGGACGGTGGTCCTTCATAAATAATGTCACGGAGCAGTTCCTTAAACAGCCGCGATGTGGCTCCGGAACCGTAGGTTGCCGACCCCTGGCTTAAGCCCTCGCATTATGAGGGGCCTCTAAGTACCAAACAAACAAAAAAAATGACACGAAGTTTAAAGGTTTATATATTCGGTTGCATATTCGCCTATGTGTATGTACATATATATCATAATAAATTTAAAACTTGACCTTCTCTGTTGGAATCATACTTTTTTTTCTTTGGCAATACTATGGGGAGGGGGGAGGGGGGTCTCTTGACATAGCTTCAGGGACCCAGCAATGTCATAATCCGGTGCTGGCCATTGACCCTCCACGCGTGGGCACCGCCCTTACAGATCTAGCGTGACACCAGGGGCACCACTATGGGGGAGGGCTATCTTATTTTTACTATTTAGTTAACAGTAAGCTATATATATATTTTTTAGAGGCGACCTGGCCACAAATGATAGCTTAACTAAGTGGCTTATGAAATACTCTAAACCAGGGGTGGGGAACCTTTATTCTGCCAAGGGCCATTTGGATATTTATATAACATCATTCGCGGGCCATACGAAATTATCAACTTAAAAATTAGCCTGTTATATTTGGTCAAACATTTAATTAACTCGCCCCTACTGCGATGGCTGGAATTGCTTCTCTTTGGCGAGGCGTGTGATGATGTTAGCTGGTATTGATGATGTTGCTCCTCGCAACTGCTTTTCCAGGTTTGCTCCTAGATTTATTGAATTTCGAGTCCCGCCTGCGGTTGCCTTGGCAGGGCCAGAGACCAAATGATTTCGTGGGCCTTATATGGCCGGACGTTCCCCACCCCTAAGCTAAACCCATGTTTCTAAATATGGAGGGAAAAACCGGGGGGCTCGGAAAAAAATCCACACGACCACGGGGAGAGAGACACGCAAACTGCAAATGTGCAACAGGCGTCGGGGTCGGGATCGAACCAAAGTCCTCGTGTATACCAGGCGAGGTAGTTAACATCTCCTAGCCACCGGGTGGCAGCGTTATACGACGCATAGAGACCCAGCCGGCCACAAGCTTAAAATCAAGTTTGATTTTAAAAAATGGTAAAGAAATTAAATTAGGGTCTTTTTATTTAGATCGCGTCAATATAAATGTATCGTTAAACCCGCCACCACCCGACGCAGCGGATTAGTAAGGTTTGGCACGTAAAGAAAACATGCCAATTTGTGTTAGAGAGTAAACCGACAACATTTACAATTCGAGTACGATGTTTCGCCAATAATTACAACCAGCCTCATCAGGCGACAGCCAGATTTACGGTTCTTCTATTTGGGTACACCTTTCGCACAACGCAGAATGCGCTCGTTCTAACGCGCTTTCTGAGCAGTTTACGGCGAGATACTTTGGTGAGCTGGGCAGCTGAGCAGTACGATAAGTATGCGGAATGATACAGTAACGTGGCGAAGTACACTTAGTCACTGCGTGTGTGTGTGTAGTACTTGGTATCTCGCCCAAACTTTATCGCCACATTAGTCCCTGGAAAATAGTATTCGCTTAAAGCGTTTTTCGCTTTAACGCGACGCATTTTCAGGAACGCGTCTAACGCATTCAATGAGGACTCGGCGCGTTGTGAAGCAGCGTTTCTTGCGTCATTGGGTCCGCAGTTGGGTTTCAGATGCTTCCGGTCCTCGCCTGTTTGCCTTGCACCGCCTGGTCTCCCAAAATTTGCGCCGGGTTAGCTGCGGTGAGTTTCCAAGCCTGGACCAACTCACTCACGCGCTCATCATCGAACTGCGTACGACCCACATCGAGCGGAGAGGAAGGTGATGCCTGCCTGTAAAAGCACCTGGCAGTTCACGGGCACGGGTCCAAGCGAGGCCGTCCCGCCTGCTGATGAGACCACTGAACGTCGAAACCGGTCCCGAGTTTTGCCCGCGTTGAGCGAATGCTGCTGAGATTACGCACTCCCAGGAGGAAGGCCGTGTGGCCGATGGGATGTGTACATATATATTCAGCACACAGTTTGCCGAGGGTCACATCTGTAGAGGAAGGAAGAGACAGTGTTTTCGCGACCATTGTGGTTGTTACAGCGTGTTTCCATCAATGGCAAATCGGAGAATCATCGAACCGCGACTGTGGTGAAGCACAAATCATGAAACGCATCGTCGACGAGTGCGCCATTCATCCACACACCCCCCTTGGCTTCATCGCTGCAATCCACACAGCATCTACTTGCCGCCTTGGATTGATTGAAGGACCTTAAACATTCGACTACGACCGCGATACAACAAACTGCGGCTTACATGCCACATGAAAGAAGAAGCGTGGTGGGGAGGGGGGGGCAAGCCCCCTCCCCCCCCCACCACGTGGGCATCTGTGAAAAATAGCTTCATAGTTCATCGAATTCCTCCAGGATAAACAAAGATTCTGATATGATTATAGGTAAGCATGCCCCCCCCCCCTCACACATAGGGGTTGGTTTGCCCCCCCTCACACATAGGGGTTGGTTTGCCCCCCCTCACACATAGGGGTTGGTTTGCCCACCCCCTCACATTTAGGGGTTGTTTGCCCCCCCGCCCTACATAGGGGTTGTTTTGCCCCCCCTCCCACACATAGGGGTTGGTTTGCCCCCCACACACATAGGGGTTGGTTTGCCCCCCACACACATAGGGGTTGGTTTGCCCCCCACACACATAGGGGTTGGTTTGCAGCCCCCCCCCCCATACACGTCCCCCCCCCCCCCCCCCCACGTGGGGGCAGGGCTTAAGCATCGTGAGTGGAAGGAGCGGACTCTCCCGCAACCAATCGCGCGCGAGGGGCGGGGTCTTATTGCGCCTATAAATAGCCCCTCGCTGACGTCGGCGGCACATCGGGCTCCCTCCATCGCGGCAGTGAATTCCGCCCTGGCTCGCTCAGTGTGGCGGCGTAGGCTCTAGCGCGAGGTGGACACTCGCTCTCTTGTACTGCAGCTGTGTGGATTGTGTGGTCCGTGTGTACTGGAGGCCGTTGTGCACTGTGGAGTCTGGACTGTAGACTCCGTGGACTATAGACTCACTCCTGCGGTGGGTACGGTCGGCTCCGTAGATTGTAGCCCTTTGTGTAGTGGAGCCTGTGTGTGTGTGGACCTTAGACTGTGTGTAGTCTACAGCAGCAGCAGCGAGGACTGTGTAGCTGTGTGCGGATTGCGGGGCTCAACCATGGAGGTGGCTCAGCTTTGGGACTGCCAGGTGAGTTAATTGCGTGCGTGTGTGTGTAAGAGCGTGTGCGGTGTTAAGATTGTGTGTATGAGTATACAGCGTGTGTGTGTGTGCGGTGTTAAGATTGTGTGTATGAGTATACAGCGTGTGTGTGTGTGTGCAGTGTTAAGATTGTGTGTATGAGTATACAGCGTGTGTGAGTGTATGTGGTGCAGTGTGTGCAATGTGTATGCGTGTTGTGTAGTGTGTGTGTGTAGTGTGCTGTTACATCGTTACGTGGAGCGTACGGTAAAGAGATTGGGGCCTTACCATCTGCCCCACCAAAAAAAAACCCACGGAACATACCTGGGTATTTTATGTCATCAAAGTCTCCACCTCCTCCACTCCCCGTGAGTGGATGAGTTCCCATATCTGGGAAGCTGCGTGGAAGCCACGTGGCCCATCGCTCCATATGAAACTTCGGGTCTTCTGGGCCACATCCGTGCCCTCCCATCTCTCTGTTTGAGAATCGTGTGGAGCCTTTTAAAGGAACGTCTGCACTGGTTTGAAACATTTCGGCTGTCTTGCCTACGATCCATCTCGGGTTCAACCAGGCTGGATTGTGTGAGGAGTTCACAAATCATTGAAAGGTCCGGACAAAGTTCCGTCATCGAGCTCTCTTGCGGCAGGCGAGGAGAGGCTTCCTTGGCTGGGACATGTAGTAGCCCGCATGGCCAGGCACCGCATGGCCAGGCACCGCATGGCCAGGCACCGCATGGCCAGGCACCGCATGGCCAGGCACCGCATGGCCAGGCACCGCATGGCCAGGCACCGCATGGCCAGGCACCGCATGGCCAGGCACCGCATGGCCAGGCACCGCATGGCCAGGCACCGCATGGCCAGGCACCGCATGGCCAGGCACCGCATGGCCAGGCACCGCATGGCCAGGCACCGCATGGCCAGGCACCGCATGGCCAGGCACCGCATGGCCAGGCACGGCACCGCATGGCCAGGCACCGCATGGCCAGGCACCGCATGGCCAGGCACCGCATGCCCAAGGAGCTTCTGTCTGGCCGGATAGAGGGGGGCACGGGCTACAGAAGAGATGGACAGGTGCGATACAGGAGTCGGAATCAGAATATTTATATTGGGGGAATCCGATGAGCTATGATGCTCCTTATCGACTCGGAGCCGCGAGGAGGAATCACAAATAAGTAGGGCGGCAGCCAGGCGGTCCTTGTGTGCATAGGACAATTTCCCAAGCTCTGCGGTCCTCTACACATGATTGCTTTCAGCCAATTATGGCTGAAATATGGAGCCCTCGGAGAAAACCCTCGCACATTGCGAGGGGGAAACGCCCTATCCCTTACGGGTGGAAAAGATGGAGATTGGTTCGCATGTTTTGCTGTACCGCATTGCTTATGGCGAGACACGGTACGGGCACCTCGACGCCCACGGAAAATGAGTTTCACGCAACATCCGTGTGGTGGTGGATCCACCAACCCCTTGCTGCTGCCTCCACGGTGCTGGATTACCAGGCCACGTGCGTAGTCGCCACCACTGCCTAGCGCGGTGTTTTTCTTAATTGCCAGGACCCGCGAGCCACTGGTGGCTTTTCGTGTGGCCCCTGACGTGTAGCCCCCGACGATACACAACGTGTGACAACACCCCCCCACCCCACATCATCGTTCTTGTCAATCAAACCCCCAATGGTTTCAAATGTGTGGCGGACCTCAAACTGACGATGTCTTATCGGCAAAAGTGGCCCCCCGCAGGAATAATAATCGGGGTGCCACGGTGGCGAGATGTTAACTACCTCGCCCGGTATACACGAGGTCGTGGGTTCGATCCCGACCCTGACGCACGTATATTTGGAGTTTGCGTGTGTCTCTCCCCGTGGTCGTGTGGAGTATTTCTCCGGTTTTTCCTGCACATTTAGAAACATTCGTTTAAGAGTATTTGGCTGCTATAAATTTCATCATGATAAGCCACTAAGTTGAGCTATCATTTGTGGTGGCCAGGTCGCTTCTACATAGCTCAGTGGGCCTTACCTTGTAACAAAAAAAACGAACTACTCTTTGGTTCTATTCGGTAAAGTCACGTAGGTAATAAAATAAAACAATAAAAATGAAAATCACGTTTCGGCCACAACACAAGTGGTCTTCTTCAGGTAAAGGGACCGGACGATCCATCTCTCGACAGTCCAGTCCCTTCACCTGATGAAGGCCGCTTGTGTTGTGGCCGAAACGTCGTGATTTTTATTTTTATTATTTTATTTGTTTACCTACGTGACTTTACCGAATAGAACCAAACAGTATGGATCCTTGCAGTCACGAAAGCTTCAAATCTAGAAAAAAAAAATAGTTTTAATAAGTGAAGAAAACTGGCCCCTAGCTGGATTTGCGTTAGGGCTGTGGAGTAAAAAAGCACGCTGGTGCCTGCTCCAGGCACATTCCGCTTGGCTCTTTGAGCACCACTCGCACTGCCGCCCCTGGCAACGAGAAGCCAAGGGGTGAAACGATCGCTCGCCGAACTTTGTACAAAAGCAGAGATCCCCCGTGTAGCCTTAAGACTTTTGGGGCAAGTGCCGTTAGGGAGCAGCACCTATGAAGGGCCGGCATGGTACACGATGTGATGGGTGGTGGTGAGCGCTCTGTGCTAATGTAGCGTGTTGTCCGGAAGCACACACTCGAGTTGGAGGCAACACGTTGATTACAACACCCCAACAGGGCTAACCACATAAACGTACACTGGTTCTACATCGAGGTGATGACTACACGGTTAACTAGACCACAACGGGGTAACTACATAACCGGGTCGGTCAGTAACGCACTGCCTGACCCACGATGCCGAGCGTAACATCGAAGACCCCGATGATCGAAGAGTCATAGCACCGACGGTTTTCACTCCAACAGAGAGCCCAGAATCCTCTCGGCACTGCCCCTTTATACTCCTGAGCGTGACCTGGCTCCGCCCTTGGCCACGCCCCATTCTAGATCCTTCTAGAAGGCTCTGGGCCATATCACGTGTCCCTCGAGCCCCCTTTTGGGGGCCCCCTTGCTACCCACACAGAGTATCACGTCCTCACTTGCTCTCTCTCCGACCCTCACCAGAACTATGCCCCCTAGGGCCCGCTTCCATGCCGTATCCACTCTGGTGCCAGAGAGAGACTCAGGACGTGCAGCTACTGTTACTAAACACCATAGTGACTCCATCGTATAAGTCACTACACCAAGAACCCCGGGGACCCGAGTTCGTTTGCCGCTCACGGCCAACACCAGTGACGATCATCTGAACCGGTCATGGGCCTCGCCTAGGTCGAGTCGGCTTCAAATGAGTACCTGGTGCGGTGTTGAAACATCGCCACTCGGGAGACAAAGGCGGCCGGGTGTGGTGCTTGCCACCCACCCCCATCGTGTGCCGTTTCGGCCTTCAGAGGTGCTCGCTAACAGCACTTGCCCCTACAGTATTTTAAGGCTATACAGGGGATCTTTGTATTTGCACACTCCAGTGCTTAGCATGTGGAACAACAAACTAAATACATGCATGCTCATGTTTTCTTTGTGCAGTGCCACTAATGCACACAGTGGGTGCATTTCACAGACCATAGTCAAATGCAGCTGTGTTAACTTTAAAGGAAAATTGTTGTGCACAGGCATTTGGTATGCACTCAGCACACAGCGATTCAGGAGAAACCGGTCACCTGACACTCACCAAACCACCAGTGTCATCGTTCAGGGGCCGTCCATAAATGACTGGACAATTTTTGACCCCCCCCCTAACCCCTTGTCACACGGCATCACAAAAAGTTAGACCGCCCCCCTCAAATATGACGTCACAAAGCTCTGCCACCCCCCCCCTGCCACCAAAACCATATTTCCATTAAAAAAATAAAACATGCTTCAAATCGCTTTAAACTATTGTCATTGTAGTGCGTATTTAATGTGGCGCTGCACTCTGATGTTGTAGGAGTGTTGTCATAACAATTCTATATTTATTTAAAGTTGCGCATTTTAATGTGACGTCACATTTATGAAATCGCCACCCCCCCCCCTCGTCACAAATGTTTGACTCCGCCCAGGTGCGTGACGTAATTTATGGACGGCCCCTCAGGCACACGCCCGATGGACGCCGAGTAGAAAACCTCTCTCTCTCGCACCGATGTTTTTCTGTTCAACTTCGTTTGCACCCCACGTAGCCGACCGTGTTCGTAATCGGAGGTGCGGTGGGAGACGGAAGAAATTACTTTTCGTGCTCACTGCATAATTGCGACGTTTGCGCAATCCTACGCGGGCTGAATTTTTCTGCGGAGTTTATTTTATGGTCTCGGATTCGGGGGTGGTGGGGGGGGCGGTGGTGGTGGTGGTTGAGGGTTTCGTTGTGGTCAAGGTTTTCGTGAAAGGAGTGTTGTGCAACGCTCGTAAATGCCGGAGTGCGCGCAAGCAGAAGCGCTGTGCCCGTAGATTTCCCAGTGTGAGCGGGGTTCTCGCTGTCAAAGAGCACAAACCATCAACGCGTGAATCCCGGTCATCCTTGCAGCGGCGGCGGCTTTTCGCTAGCCATCGGACAAAGACGGTCGCCACATGGCGCACTTTCAGACGCGCTTCTGCGCACCTTGTGGGACGCTCTTTCCTAGCGATAATAGGAATTGACTGGAGACTATGCACTTTTAAATCTGGACAGAAAACTAATTTCTTTAGAACAGCTTTTTTGTGTTTAGTTTGTCCTTCTCCGCGCCTCCGTTTTAAAGCACGGTTGTCTACGTGCGGTGCGGAAAGAAGTCCAACATGCAGCCAGTCGATTGTGTCGGTCACCGTGCGAGTCGGCGGGGTTCTCACCGTGCGAGTCGGCGGGGTTCTCACCGTGCGAGTCGGCGGGGTTCTCACCGGCGGGGTTCTCACCGTGCGGGTCGGCGGGGTTCTCACCGTGCGAGTCGGCAGGGTTCTCACCGGCGGGGTTCTCACCGTGCGAGTCGGCGGGGATTCTCACCGTGCGAGTCGGCGGGGTTCTCACCGTGCGAGTCGGCGGGGTTCTCACCGTGCGAGTCGGCGGGGTTCTCACCGTGCGAGTCGGCGGGGTTCTCACCGTGCGAGTCGGCGGGGTTCTCACTGTGCGAGTCGGCGGGGTTCTCACCGGCGGGGTTCTCACCGTGCGAGTCGGCGGGGTTCTCACCGTGCGAGTCGGCGGGGTTCTCACCGTGCGAGTCGGCGGGGTTCTCACCGTGCGGGTCGGCGGGGTTCTCACCGTGCGAGTCGGCGGGGTTCTCACCGTGCGAGTCGGCGGGGTTCTCACCGTGCGAGTCGGCGGGGTTCTCACCGTGCGAGTCGGCGGGGTTCTCACCGTGCGGGTCGGCGGGGTTCTCACCGTGCGGGTCGGCGGGGTTCTCACCGTGCGAGTCGGCGGGGTTCTCACTGTGCGAGTCGGCGGGGTTCTCACCGTGCGGGTCGGCGGGGTTCTCACTGGCGGGGTTCTCACCGGCGGGGTTCTCACCGGCGGGGTTCTCACCGTGCGAGTCGGCGGGCCTCACTGTGCGAGTCGGCGGGGTTCTCACCGGCGGGGTTCTCACCGTGCGAGTCGGCGGGGTTCTCACCGGCGGGGTTCTCACCGGCGGGGTTCTCACCGTGCGAGTCGGCGGGGTTCTCACCGGCGGGGTTCTCACCGGCGGGGTTCTCACCGGCGGGGTTCTCACCGTGCGAGTCGGCGGGGTTCTCACCGTGCGAGTCGGCGGGGTTCTCACCGGCGGGGTTCTCACCGGCGGGGTTCTCACCGGCGGGGTTCTCACCGGCGGGGTTCTCACCGGCGGGGTTCTCACCGGCGGGGTTCTCACCGGCGGGGTTCTCACCGTGCGAGTCGGCGGGGTTCTCACCGTGCGAGTCGGCGGGGTTCTCACCGGCGGGGTTCTCACCGGCGGGGTCCTCACCGGCGGGGTTCTCACCGGCGGGGTTCTCACCGGCGGGGTTCTCACCGTGCGAGTCGGCGGGGTTCTCACCGTGCGAGTCGGCGGGGTTCTCACCGGCGGGGTTCTCACCGGCGGGGTTCTCACCGGCGGGGTTCTCACCGGCGGGGTTCTCACCGTGCGAGTCGGCGGGGTTCTCACCGGCGGGGTTCTCACCGGCGGGGTTCTCACCGGCGGGTCCTCACCGTGTGAGCGGCTCTTGTCGTCCACATCCAGGCGTGGAAAGCCGACGGGCTTCCGCTCGCCACGACGAGCAACGAGGCGTGCAAGTTGTATGACGCGGCCCTCCAGCAGGTGAGTCGCTCGCACGCACCCCCCCCTACTCCCTCTCCTGCCCGACGTCGCACTCTGTTCAACGCGACCCCACCCCCCTCGGTACAAAACGCTGATCGCAGAACGGAGATGAGAGGAGCGGGCGGGGGGGGGGGGGGGAATGAGACTCTGCAGACAGCAAGCATCCCTATCTCGGGACTGCAGGTGCCCCCCAACGGAGGGTTGGCGGGGCGGGGGGGGGATTTGGGCTCGCTGCCCCACCCAGGTGGGGACCACGTGCTGTGGGGGGGGGGGACATGAAGGTTCATATGGGGAGGTGGAGGGGTTAAGATAACCAACATACTGGGGGAATGAAAGAGACGGGGAGGAGAGAACCAGGGTGGGGCGGGAGGCGGCAACGTCACCCTCGTAGGCCCGTCGTCTCAATCACGACTCGGCTCGACCGGGCCCGCGTTCCATCCTCGCTCGCGGCCAATCACAGTGGTCGAGAGGGGGGGAGGCAAAAATGGCAGCCAGGCGTGGTGCTGGCCACCCACCCATCCCCTAGCGTGCTGTGCGGGCATTAAAAGTTAGCCGCTTGCAGCACTCGCCCGAACGTATCCTGTTGAAGGGGCTGTGCGGCCGATGTTTGTCTTTGGTGCACCATCGGTTGCGTACCACGAGTGTCCTCGGCGTGTGTTCTCACCGCACGGTGCTTGTGTGCGTTTGCCTTTATGCTGTGCCACACGTGCGCTGCGCTGTGCGGTGCGCAGTACATGGGCTGGTTCAACGACGCCTCGCTGGGCGGTCTCGAGGGGACGATGTCCAGGCTCGTGTTCGCCGACCCGGACTTCGGTGCGTCTTCTGCGTCGTCTTGTCGCACGGCTGCTGATGTAGACTGCAGGGCAACAAGTAAAACATGTTCACGTTCAGGTGGTCAACCCAGCGGACAACCGCGTCGGGAGCAGTGGCGTGTGTGGCTGCGATGTCTCCCTTCGTTTTGCGTTGTTCTGCGTTGAACGATCCGTTCCAGATGACCACACTGGAGGGTTTTACATTTTCCATTCGTGCAATGTTAGTCGATGAGCATTGTTATTCTATGGGCAATGTTAGTCTATGGGCAATGTGAGTCTGAGCAATGATCTTCGTCTTTCGAACGGCTGATGATGATGCAGAGCAACACCTACAATTTCGCATTCATGTGGGAAAGGCAGCAGAAAATCGCGCGAGGAACAGCGGAGTGTATCGACGTGATGTCTCCCTTGGGATTTGTTGTTATACGTTGTTACGGTCTGTTCTGGATTACCACAGTCGCACGCTACTGGAGCTTTTCATGGGTTAGGTCTCGTATTTATAAAAGTCGTTAAACCCGTCACCACCCGACACAGCCAATTAGTAAGGATTGTCACGTAAACAAAACATGATGATTCGTTACTTGTTCAGCACACCGGTGTGTTGGAAAGTGAACCCACAACATTTGCAATTCAGGTACCGTGACGTTTTGTCGGGAATTGCAGCCAGCCTCGTCAGGAGACTGCAGGTTTGTGCAGAATTCCTCCTGTTTTTTGGGCAAGTCCGATCTGAACAGCTTATGAATGCGGTGCATATACGCACGCACGTATGTTTAACTTATTTCGCGTCGTACGTAGCCAACCGTGCTAATCGGAGGTGCGCGCGATGCTCTGCCATGGTGTGGCCTTTCGTCGTGGATGCGATGCCCCGTGGTGTGGTTATTAACGGTGTCCATGTGGCGTGGGGGCGGCCATGGTGTGGTTACTGACAGTGATGGGAGGGGTTCTGGTGAGCGGCCTGGAGCTGATGGGAACGGGGAAGGCGCTCGCCGACCCGGGGCTGCGCGGGAACCTGGAGCGGCTGGCGTCGCTGGTGGCGCGGCAGGCTGGCGACAAGCTCAGCGAGAGGGAGCGGGAGCACGCGCGCGCCATCCAGCTGTTCGGAGACGGGTGACCGCTCGCTCGCTCGCACGCAGACATGCACGCACGCTGCCCTTGGTGCCCCGCGCCACGCAACTCCACCGCGTAGACACGCGCGTCGCTACGGTTACACACATGGCAAGAGACATGGAGACGCCCGCTCACGCCGCGTGCGCTGCTGCTGCTGCTGCTGCTGCTTGCAGGCGCATGTGGGAGGCGTGCCTGGCGTGGGAGCGCATCCTGCACGCTCACCCCAAGGACCTGCTTGCCCTCAAGTTCACGCACGACGCGTACTTCTACTTGGGCAAACGCGAGCAGATGATGGACTCCATCAGCCGCGTGCTGCCCTCCAACGTCGGCTCGCGGCACTACGGGTGACTCGCCGCTGTCCGCTTGGGCGCATCGCGCGCGTTCAGGCGCGCGATGCGGCCTTCTGGAACGCTCTTTCATCCGATATTGGGAAGCCACTGGAGCTATGCACTTTTCAATCCAAATTGAAAACTAATGTATTTTCGAACTGCTGTTTCTGTTTAGTTTTTTTGTCCTTCCCCCCCCCCCCCCCCGCGCCTCTGATTATCACGGTTCACAATGTATGGTGCGAAAGAAGTTCAACATACATACATACATTACGACTATCCAGGGCCGCTCCTGCGCCATCAAATGTCCCTTTTGGCCCACGCAATTTCACTCTCGTTTGCAGTATCCCAGTAAACATTGCCAACGCTGGCCCACCATTGGCATGTGCTTAAATTACACTATTTTTTCTTTTTTCTTACCAGGTAAGACCCACTGAGCTATGTAGCTCTTTTTCAGAAGCGACCTGGCCACAAATGATAGCACAACGAAGTGGCTCATAATTTGGAAAATGTATAGCAGCCAAAATGCTCTAAACGCACGTTGATTCTTAATGTGCGAGGGGAAAAACCAGAGGGCCCGGAGAAAAATCCATGCGACCACGAGGAGAACATGCAAACTCCAAATATACAGCAGGCGTCAGGGTCAAATGTGAACCCACGGCCTCATGCATACCAGGCGAGGGAATTAACATCTCGCCACCGTGGCACCCACTGTTTTGTCGAATATCATTTATTTTAAAAAAATAACCACAACTTTTTCTTTTTTGGATGGGGGGGGCGGCGGTGGAAATTCTTCTGTATGTATTAATCAACATTTTCGCACCGTGTGGATTATTCCAACAGACATCTGCTGGCAATGCACGCGTTTGGGTTGGAGGAAAACAATCTGTTTGATCTGGCAGAGAAGGCGGCCAAACAGGTAAGAATGCCCCGAAATAATGTGACCAAGGATAAGGTCTGGACTGGTCATTGTCATCCTTTCCACCACCCATTAACAGTCTGAATATTAAGGTCACCGTGATTGGTTGCCATCGACTCTGTTTGGGCGGGTGAGCGTCTGGGTGGCTGACGTATTTAGATTATTTTTTGCTGCTATTAATCCCCAGGTGATAAGGCGACTTTGTCGAGCTTAATTTTTGCGGGCCAGGTTGCTTCTGAAAAAGAAGCTCGTAGCTCGGTGGCTTTACCTGGTAAGATACTGAAAACTCTATTATTTAGACCTGCTTTTTGTGATTAGTTTGTCATCCTTCCCCCGCACCTCTGATTAGCGCGGTTGGCTAAAAAAAGTGCGTAAGAAGTTGAACATACATACGACGTTAAACTGAACGCTTAGCCTTAATGTGGTCTCTAACCATGGCTATGCGACCTCTGGACCCTGACTGCACTGCGTGTGGTTGAGGGCAGGCCCTGCAGATGAACGAGCGCGACGGTTGGGCCACGCACGCCTTGGCTCACGTCTACGAGATGACAGCCGCACCTGCCAAGGGGAGAGCGCTGATGTCTCAGACCGAAAACAATTGGGAGGTACCTTGAGCATCGCCCACGTAGAACAAAGACAAAGATCCCCCGTATGGCCTTTACCAACTGTTGGGACAAGTGTTCTTGGCGAGCACGGCGCACGAGGGGAGGGGGGGGTGGTGGCCGGCACCACGCCTGGCCGATGTCTCTCCGGTTGTTTAGACACAACACCAGCTACTCATTTGTAAATATGTATGCAACGTGCTTAGGTGTCAGTCTTGCCCATGAGGGCAACCTCTATTGACTTTCCCCCCAGTGTGCGCCAGCCTGGATAAATAAGAGATGCCGCTTGATGAAAACCTCCGTGCCACCACGGATGCGGCCCGCTAGGCCCCAGCGTTCTTTAATTGCAAGGCCTCGCGGGTCACTGGCAGGCCCCTGGTGGCCTTTTTAGTGCGCCCCCCAGACCCCACCCCCGACAATACAAAAGTGTGAAATCATCATCAACATCTTGCTGCTGTAAAACCCCCAACGGTTTCAAATGTGTGTGGCGGGCCCTCACCACTGACGATGTCTCGTCGGCGAAAGTGTCCCACCCCCCGCCACACCTCTCTCTCTCTCTCTCGCGCGCGCTCTCATTCTCTGTGCGTTGCAGGTGTGCGACATGCTGGCTTGCCACAACTACTGGCACTGGGCCCTCTACTGCCTGGAAAAGGTAACGACGCCCCCCCGTGGACGAAAACCACGCGGTCGGAACGCCGGGGGCCGCGGATTTGGCGAGCGCGGCGTCGCCTGCCGCTCACGTCGCTGCGCGGCGCTCGCGACGGCTTTCCCTGCGGTGGCTGTTGTGGCTGACGGTGTTCCTGCGCTTGATTTTCAGGGGGAATATGAAGAATCCCTGGCAATTTACGACACCAAGGTAATGCGCGCGCGCGCGCGCGCGTGAGCCCAGCGCCGTGTGAGCCCAGCGCCGTGTGAGTCCAGCGCCGTGTGAGCGTGTGTGTGTGTGTGTCTTGTACCTCTTTCGTATCAAGCGTAGCCAGCCATGCTAATCGGGGGTCCGGTGGGGGGGAAGGACAACAAAAACTAAACTAAAAAAGCAAGTGGATACTTAACGTGTACTTGCCTTGGCAGGCTATGGGTAAATATGATAATGAGCAAACGGGCAAGGATTAACATATGATTTGGGCCATCCACACAAGTGTGTCCCAGTGGGTGACAAATGTTGAGATGACGTATCTATGAATGTTGAACTGTACATAGCCAACCGTGCTCACCGGAGGTGCGGAGGAAAGGTAAAAAAAGTCAACACAAAAGCAGTTCTAAAGAAATTAGTTTTCAATCTAGATGTAAAAGTGCACAGCTCCAGTGACTTCCTAATATCGGAAGGAAGAGCGTTCCAGACGGCCGCAGAAGCCCATCTGAAAGAGCGCGATGGCGGTGACCGCCGTCTTTGATGTTTATCCAAAAGCTGCTGCTGTTGCGAGGACGACCGGAGTTTAAAAGCTGTTTACACGTCACTCGGCGTCACTGTTTGTCTTTCTTCCCTGAAAGCTCGCCTGTTTTCCCTCGCTTTACTCCACCTCCCCTTCCCCCATCACTAACTCCATCCCTCTTCACAACATCCCTGCCCCATTCATCGCACCCTCTCACTCGCACCCACCCATCATTAACCACTTCATCGTCACCTTCATCATCGTCCATCGTCCTACCCATCGTGCACTACCATCCTTCTTATCAACTCGCCTCGTCACACCGTTTCAATGTGAAATCGCTAATTCCGTGTTCGGCGCCTTGGTTAAATTTAAGGCGAGATGAGAAAGATGTGCGTCAACGCGCGAGTCCTGGCGACGTGACGTTGGGTGAATGTGGATGCTGCGATTTCTTTGTTTTAAAGTTGATGTTTAGTTTAGTGGCCGTGGAACTTTCACGGCGAGAGGCCTTGGTTTGATGATTGGCGCGCGCTGGGCGCCGTGCCCGCGCAAGGTGTACCCCCGGCTCAAGGAATCTGCCGGAATGCTGGACGTGGTGGACGCCTGCTCGATGCTCTACCGCCTCGCACTAGAGGGTGAGCGATTGGGCGAGCGGTGTATCGAGTGAGTGCTGTGTTTGTTGCGCTGTGCGCATTTGCGTTTCACCACTCCGAGCCTGACTCCTGAGACCGCTTGACCACGCATCACAGGATAGAGGGGGTGCGGGGCATGGGGCGGCACCACGTGCATCACTCGTTCCGCGTTCTCTCCGTAACGTGCTCCGATGCGCGTAACGCTCGCCGCCCCTAACGACGCCGTGGGGGGGGTCCGGCGTCCCTCGTCTCCGCCGCAGGCGTCGCCGTCGGAGAGCGCTGGAAGGAGCTCGCGAGCGCCACCCGCTCCCACGTGGGGGACCACACCCTGGTCTTCAACGACCTCCACCTGCTCATGTCCACCCTGGGAGCGCAGGAGGTGTCGCTCACGAAACAGCTGACGTCCGCCATGGAGGAGCGGAGGTCTGCGCACCCCCCCCCCCCCACGCACAGCCGCCTGCTAAGCGAGATGAAACAAAATACATTTACAGTGGCAAAAAGTCGGCTCTGACAAATTGCTTGAGAAATAAATCATTGTTAGCCCACCCCCTCCTCAACCACCCCCCCCCCCCCCCCGCGTGTTTATTTAAAATAAATTTCGGCCAACCCTTAAATATTGACGCGCTGGTGCGCGGCCTGTAACGCCAGGCAGTGCATCTGTCGTTCGACTCCACCAAGCGTCAAAAATTGCGAATGGAAGGAAAATTAAAATAAATAAATAAATAACAAAAATCCTAACCCGTTCGTGCCGATTATTGCGCTCGTGCGTCGAATACAAGTGCAAGCAAGGTGAAGAATCGACACCTTCGCGTTCATCACGTTGTGTTGGGCGGCGCTCGACGCTGTTGCTGCTGCTGTTGCGTGCGTGTGTGTGCTTGCGCGTGCGTGTGTTTGCGTGTGTGCGTACCCGCACGTGGATTTCTGTGCGCCGCTTGTCCGACAGGGGCGACGTGCGCGACCAGGACCGCGTCGCCAGGCGCGTGGGGGTGGACCTGTGCCGTGCCCACGTGGCGTTTGACGCGGGGAATTACGGTGAATGCGTCGAGCTCCTTCAGCAAGTGCGCTACGACATCCCCTGCATGGGGGGTAGCAACGCGCAGGTGCAGGAACCGCTCCTCGCTCGAGTGCGCACCGAGAATCACTTCGCTCTCGCCCGTGAAAACATTCCAGCTGCAATGCCTCTGATGCGCTGTTTGTATCCATCCCGATGAGCAGTACCCACAATGCTCTGCTCCGATGCTCTGCGTTTTATGGACATGTGTGTGTGTGTATGTGGGGAGCAGTAGTGTAGCGGTTGGCACGGCTGCGCTACGAACCAGCGACCTGAATTTGATTTCTGCTCAAGGCCAACACCAGTGGCGATTATCTAAACCAGACCTGGGCGTCCCCTAGGTCGACTCGGCCCCAACTGAGTATCTGTTGCGGTGTGTAAACATTGCCACTGGGGAGACGAAGGCGGTCGGGCTTGGTGCTGGCCACCCACCCCCTCGTGTGCCGTTCTGGCCTTAATAGGTGCTCGCTTACAGCACTTGCCCCAGCAGTCTCTTAAGGCTATACGAGAGATCTTTGTTTTTATATGTATGTTGAACTTACTTCACACCGTGCGTAGCCAATTGTAGCATGTGCTCTGATGTGCGCGTGTGTGTGTTGGCAGAGGGACGTCTTCAATTTGCTGCTGATTCACTCGGCCATTCTCTCTCCGGACCCGGAGCACAAACGGCTGGCAAGGTTGGTTTTCCTCCTTACCATTCCAGAGCTCTTTCTACTACCGGCGTGCATTCCTCGCCCCCGCGTGCACGTGTGTGTTGTGTGCGATGTGGCCGTGTTATGTACCGAGCCGTTAAAAGTGCAACGCGCCAAGTTTTAAGATGCTCCGTGCTGTTGTGGTGAAATGTTGTGGTGAAATGTGGTTCAGGCCTGAAGAGATACGAGTCTGTTCAACTAACGTGTCGGTCCATTATCCCGTCGGCTCTGGTGACCAGCGTTTCCCCCGATGCGTTTTGTTCTGGCAGCAACCCCTGGACTGCTTTCTTCAGCTTTCGGGAGCGTGCTTGTCCGCTGTATAAAATCCAAGACTTGCGTCGCAAAGAAGGCGGCATCGCAGCTCTCACTCGGGAATTAAGACGTTGCCATGGGCGGGGCCGCGATGCGTGTGGAGGGTAGAGGACGGGGTGGGGGGGCATTGGCCTCGCATTCGGAGGTCGTCGATGAGAGAGGGGAAGACCTCCTGAAGCCAGACGTGTGCGCGGGTGTTTTAAGAGCGGAGCCCGTGGAGGTGAAGCGTTGACATTGCGACGGTTGCAGGCTCGAGCAAGGGGGAAGGAAACGACGACGAGTTGCAGCGGCCTGCCCTGCCAACTCGACCCGGATTTCTGATCATGCAAGCACTTGTGGTCATTATTTAGCGCATTATTTATTTATTATGATGATTATTGTTGTGAGTGTGCTTTGTTTAGCCAGGAAAGTCCTCGCCGAGTCTTGAGACTCTCGACTCAACAGGAGGGTCCTCCACCTCTTCGGCAACCGCACAGGAATTTTCCTCCAGGACCAAAGAGCGTCTATAAGGAAACGGCGTTGTAAAAGGCAGCGGTGCAATCTTTCAACTTTTTTGGCAAATTTGGACCGTGGCGCCGGCACGCGATGGCCACCTCCGCTTCGAATGACACCGCGGGGAGCTTTAACGCTGTGACTGCCGGTTGCTCCGGTCTCTTGCGCTGTGCACGGGGCTGCGCCTCGTACCGCGATGCGCGCCGTGTACAGTCCATTGTGCTGCTGACAGCAGCGGCGGTGTGTGATGTGCAGCGCCGTGATTGTGCCACCGTCGGTGTCTCGCGCGTCATTGCAGGAGTCTCCTGGCGGAGAGGGACGCCGTGAAGCCGGGATCGTGCATGACGCAGCGGCTGCTTCGGGCCGCGCATTCCCCCTGATCAACGACGACTCAAAGGGTGCACGGCGCTGACGCCGTTCGTGGACCCCTTCCCCGGCGCCACCCTCGTACGAGACGCTCTTTCCTGCTTCACGCGCACGCACAACACTTGACGCGGAATTTCCACGCGGCAGCACTCGCAGATTGGCGCAGACCCCCCCCCCCCCATTCCCCAAGTGAGACGATAAGAACGACCGATCCAAGTTTTTCCCATAGCTCTCTCCAACACTCAAGGCTCCGCTGACACACGATGTACATTTATCACACCACTTCCAAGACGCCTTGAGCGGCCCCGTATTCTTAGCCACAGCTCGGCTCGGGCTTTGCTCTGGCTCCAGTGCGCCGGCACGAAGCCATGATCCCAGCCACGGTCTGGATTTTCCATGAGCCCGAGCCGAGCCACTCCTGCGTCTTTGGAAGCAACCGAGGGGCTCGAGACTGAACTGAGCTGAGCTGCGTCTGAGGCCCAACCAGAGGTGGAGCCGTGGCTAAGAACACGGCCCATGTGACTTTTGTGATATCTTCTGCGTTTCTAAAGTGGTCTGATCTGTTAGGTGGAACGTTCCTCTCGCCTACGTTTAAAATCCGATGCCACCCTCCCCGCCCGAACAAACCCATGATGCAACATCCGTCATGGAGATGAGATGGGTGGCAGTGGCACTACCCAAGACGGTGATTGCACGGCATGCACCAGAGAAACCAAACTGGTGGCCGGTCGGGAGGAGTTGAGATTTTGTGCTCCCATCTAATACAAGGGTTTTCGCGGCGGCTTGTAATCCGAGCTGCGCTTTGAGCGTCTCTTCCCGCAAGCTTTTGCCACGCGCTACTTCGGGCGTCATGGCTCCTGCAGGTGTATGCAGTGGCGAGTGGCGGCAGCTTGAGCGAAGTTGGAATTCTCAACCCTGGCAAAACCACTCTGGGATAACGAGCGGCTGCCAAAACTTACAAAAAAAGTCACTTGGGTTTTTGTGGTCGCGTTTGAGGCTTACGGAACCAAACGAAAGCACTTATGAAAAGCGTACGAATATACGTTATCACAGAGCAAATATAAATGATTCGCATCATGATTTTTCTCGCTCTAATTTTGCAATAATATATTTTTGAAAGTGTTTTTAACATATAATGTACTTAACATCTGAAGCAATTTTACATAAAAGGAAATCAAATAAAAAAATGTGCGTGATTTATGTCACCTCTACTCAACTGTTATTATTGTGTGCCTGGTTTGTTAACAGTCTGTTACAGTAGTGGCCAAAACGTGGAAAGCGATCCACGGGCCAACAGTGACCGCATAAAAACACCTTTTTTTGTTACAGCTGATGGCAAAAATCCCGTAAAAGAATGTGAAAAAAATATTTTCACCAATAGATGGCGCTAGTTATTTGTGTGTATGTTGAACTTCTTTCGCACCGTAACGTAGCCAACCGTGCCAATTGGAGGACAAGCTAAACACACAAAAAATCCGTTATATAGACGATGCGATTTCAATCTAGATTCAGAATAATGTCATGCGGAACGTCCCACACCACCCGCTGGGAAAACAGCGGTGTCCCCAAACCAGAACCTTCATGAAAGTCCCACACCACCCGCTGGGAAAACAGCGGTGTCCCCAAACCAGAACCTTCATGAAGAACCCTACAGGGGAACTGCCCAGGTTTCTCTCCGCTTTCTGACCCCGTGCCTCTACTGGACATCTTTGAAAAAGGAGGCTTCCTAGCTCATCGGATTCCTCCAGGATAAATAAATGTGCTGATTCTGAGCTGCCCCAACAACAGTCGGGGGACCCGCTGTCAACAACCGCGTCCCAAAGTTCAGTTTATTTTGAATTACCCTGGGAGCAAATATTCTCTTAATCGGGTGTGGGGGATATTGCCACCTCCATAAGTTGAAACGATCAACGACTGAATGCGATGAGCCCGCAAATCGTCGGGCGTATATCATCGCTCTCATGGCTTCTCCTCGCTCCTCCGAGTCGTTTTCTCGAGAGAGATCAACGAGTGGCGCGTTCTAAGTTGAGTTATCATAACCTCAGGTTGAGCCTGCCCTGTAAGTGAAACCGATCACGTTATGGGTCGTCCTTTTATCGGCCCGTTTTTATCATTTTGGTTTTCCGTTTTTTCTTGGTTTCTATTCTTGCGTACGGCAACGTGTTAAACAAACTAAATGAGTAGGGGATAGCCTGAACGAACGGGTGAAGACTTGAGCGGCTGAGGGCCCGAACGGATGAGGGCCTTGACAGGTGAGATCCTGGACGGGTGATAGCCTGAACAGGTGAGTACCTGAACAGGTCAATGCCTGAACAGGTAAGGGCTTGGACAGGTGATCGCCTGAACAGGTGAGTGCCTGAACAGGTGAATGCCTGAACAGGTTAGGGCTAGGACAGGTGATCGCCTGAACAGGTGAGTGCCTGAACAGGTTAGGGCTAGGACAGGTGATCGCCTGAACAGGTGAGTGCCTGAACGGGTGAGGGCTAGGACGCGTGATCGCATGAACAGGTGAGTGCCTGAACGGGTGAGGGCTCGGACGGGTGATCGCATGAACAGGTGAGTGCCTGAACAGGTTAGGGCTAGGACAGGTGATCGCCTGAACCTGGTGAGTGCCTGAACGGGTGAGGGCTAGGACGGGTGATCGCCTGAACAGGTGAGTGCCTGAACAGGTTAGGGCTAGGACAGGTGATCGCCTGAACCTGGTGAGTGCCTGAACGGGTGAGGGTTAGGACGGGTGATCGCCTGAACAGGTGAGGGCCTGAACGGGTGAGGTCCTGGACAGGGGAGATCTTGAACGGGTGAGGGTTTGAACGGTGTGAGAACCCTGAGCTGCTGTGGATGCTGCTTCTTGGGATGCTGCTGCGTTGTGCAGCAGTAGTGGGTGAAATAGAGAGAGAGAGAGTTGCAGACAGCTGCTGGTGCAGCTGCTGATAACCGGCCCTCAGCCAGGACGGTCCTGATCTGCTTGAGTGTGGATGGTTCTTCTTGGATGCTGCTGCACACACACAGCGGTAGGAGAGAGGTCTTCGTGCAGACAGCTGCTCGTGCAGGCCGCTGATAACCGCCGCTCAGCCTGGGCGGTTTATGGTCTGGGTACGATGAGTAGGTTATTAGGGGCCGTCCATGAATGACGTCACGCGATTTTGGACGATTTTTGACCCCTCCCTCGTCACACGGCGTCACAAATGTCTAACTCCCCCCCCCCTCAAATATGACGTCACAAAGCTCTGCCCCCCCACCCCCCCAAATAAAACATGCTTCAGATAGCTTTAAACTATTGTCATTGTAGTGCGTATTTAATGTGGCGGTGCACTTTGATATTGTAGGAGAAAACATTTATTAAAAAGCCTAGTTAATGAAGTAGAACGTGTTGTCTATATTTATTTAAAGTTGCGCATTTTGATGTGACGTCACATTTCTCAATCCCACCCCCCTCGTCACACATCGTCACAAATGTCTGACCCCTCCTCCCACCCCCCAGGTGCGTGACGTCATTTATGGACGGCCACCTAGTACGAGACAAATTTCAGATTTTTAGCCCTCGTTGAACATGATCGGTTATGTGTGCAAAATATGATAGGAGGGGGGGTTAGCACTTAGCATCGTTAGAATTGACATGAGTATCTCATCCGTAGAAACGACCGTTTCTACGGATGAGATACACATTTTAATTGCATGGTGGTGGTTGGGGGGGGGTATGAAAGCTGTAGAAATCCCCCGTGCGTAAACAGGGAAGCAAATGGTTACATTGTGCATAAGGATCAACTAAATTTAGTTTCAAACTGATTTAATGAAAAAAAATCATATTGGTGAAAACGATACGCGATGTTCCCTGTGTTGTTCACATTTTGCGGGCCAAATAATTTACGCGTCAACTGCAAAGAAGAAGCACGACCAGGGGACTGCTTAATACAAAAAATAATGATAAAAAAACCCTCTGAATGAAATTCGAGTTTTTGTATTAATAAGAGAATTCTAAAATTGGGTTAGATGACGATTCAAGACACCCACTTTGGTGGTGGTAATTTATGCACCGAAAGTGTAAAAAATTACGATTGCAGTTTATTTTTTTTATCTTTATCCCTCTTAACTGGGTCGTTCTGTGACTTGGGCCATTTTAAGGATGACATTGTCAGGGCAGCTTAGAGTTATTTCAGTGCAAGCAAAGCACATTGACAACTCACTGCTAACACCTACGCTATTGGCGCGGTGGTGGCCCAACTCCTTTGTAATCCAGCACTGCGCGATATCAGCAGCGAGGGGTTAGTGGATCGCCACACAAATGTTGCGTGAAACTCCCTTCCCCGCGAGCGTCGAGGAGGTGGGCCACACCCTTGGCTCGACAGGATAAGGCAGTGCAGCGAGTGGACTAATCGCCAACTGTTTCCATCTGTACGGGGATGGGGCGCTGGCCTCCCTCGCGCAAGGGCGTGCAATGAAGAACACCGCGCTAGGCAGTGGTGGCTACTACGCACGTGGCCTGGTAATCCAGCACCGTGGAGGCAGTAGCGAGGGGTTTGGTGGATCACCACCACACGGATGTTGCGTGAAACTTCCCTTTCCGTGAGCGTAGACGAGGTGCCCCTACCGTGGCTCGTCAATGGTAATGCGGTACAGCAAAAAAAATGTGAACTTATCTCTATCTTTTTTTCCATCTGTACGGGATAGGGTGTTGCCCCCTCGCATGTGTGAGGGTTTTCTCCGAGTTCTTCGGTTTCCTCCTCCTCCTCCCACGTGAACAACAAACGCAACTCACTCATCATTGTTTGGCTGAAAACGTCTTAAAGTGAAAACCCAATGTCACAGCGGCAGGACCCTCCCGCAAATGAGCCCGATGACTCAGCGTGGCTACTCCTGGATAAATAAGTAAGCCCAGAAATCTACCGCGATTCATAGATTTGTACGGTGTGTGAGTGTGTGTTTAAATCACAAGAAATGCGCACGATCACGGAAGCTAAGCAGGGTGGTCGAGCCTGGATAGTGCTTGGATGAGAGATCGCCAGGCGCAAAGCAGGTGTAACAGGCTGCTGTTGCTGCTGCTGTCATGTAAATATCTTGTACTGTACTGCTATGTTCCCCGCCTTCAACGACCAGTGTGGTAAAGTATGGTCAAACACCTCTCACGGCCCACGTGGCGTGGTGAGGCACTCATCCAGCAGTGGATTAACAAAGGGGCCGTTGTTTTACATGACTGAGCAGATTATAGGCTGATAAATAAGTTAACAACTGGTGGAACTTTGAAGCGTCTCTCTCTCTCTCGAGTTACTTCCTGGCGTGCTCATCCCTCCTTGTCTCCGTAGCCGCGAAATTTTGAAATGCAAGAATGCAATTAAGAAGCTCGCGCCGGACAATGAACGAAGCAATTTTACGATTCGCATCTCTTTGTCGGCGTAAAGGTGGCCACAATTATCTCGTGGAGTTCTCGTGGAGTTGAAAATTATGATGATGGCAAAATCGCCCGATTATGCTGAATGTAATAACCAGCGAAACGTCACAGTACTCACATTGTAAATGTTGTGGATTTATCTCCTTTGGTTCTTTCGGTAAAGTCACGTAGAATGAGAATAAAATAATAAATTGATAAACACTGGTGGGCTGAAGTAGTAACCAATTGGCACGTTTTGTTTACGTGACAAACATTACTAGTTACCTGTGTCAGGTGGTGGCGGGTTAACGACACATTTATACTTACGCAAACTAACTCAAAAACCTTTTTATTGTGAATAATATTGGTCGCGAAAACCTACGTGACCTGGTGTATTCGTCTGCCGGTCGGGGGCGATGATTGCTCTCTATCAGCACAATTTAATTATTTGCGGTGTAATTTTTTTATTTGGAAAATCTTCATCCTGACGCCGCCACGCGATGGACCACCCCCCCTTCTTTGCAAATTACGTCAATGGATCTTTAACGTCCGACGTGAAGCAGACGACGCATGGTCATGTTACTCGCAGTAATGTTCGGGGAGAGTCCCGTTCAGCCGGTCACATTGTCCCACCGTCTGATCTGTGTCCTTCCTCTTCCCCTCTTCCCTTCCATATGACCTTGTGGAATCGTCTTCATCATAACTCAAGTTGTGAGCCTTCCTTATAATCATCATAACCATGATTTTAGTACCTCCCCCGTGTAAAAAAATATCTGTCAGCACATATTTATTCTTCTTCTGCTGCTGCTGTTTCTCATCACAACGGCTTCCTCTCCTATTTATTCTCTACCACTGCA